CACTCGCTTTGCAAGCGAGAGACCTGAGTTCAATTCCAGGCAGAGGGCGAAACCTTGGGCAAGTTTCCTTACTCCACACACCTAATAATAATCCCTCCAAAAAAACAAAACAATAATAAATTGGTCATTTTCAATCCACGACTGTCTGTGGGACACTGCTGTGCGCAATTGGCTGCTGCGTTTCACCCACAAATATAGTCAATTCACTTTACAGTATATTGTGTGAAGCGCTTTGAGACGTCCAGAAGACGTGAAAAGCGCTATATCAAATGCAAGGATTATTATTATTGTTATTATTATAAATAGTCATCCAGTGTTTAAACCTTAATGTGTGTTTGGGGAGAATTCAGTCCAGTAATGTTCTCTGTAATCAGTGAAGAGAATGGGAACTGTTTTCAAACCACCTGCTGGTGTACTGGGGAAGGTCTATCCTCTTTCCACGGATGCTGCCTGACCCGCTGAGTGTTTCCAACCACTTCTGTTTTTATTTAAGACCTCCTGATGTTGCTTTGGGTGAGCAGCACAGCAAAGGCCAGACCTTAGTGAGTGCTCTAATCTTTAGCTTAGTGGTTAGAGCACTTGCCTTGCAAGCGAGAAGACCTGGGTTTGATTCCCGGGCAGGGCGAAATGTTAGGCAAGTTTCCTTATTCCACATTCCTCTGTTTACCTAGCAGTAAAGTACAAACCCGGTTGTTTCTGGGGGTATTAATGCCTTGAAAAAAATAATTTGGTCACTCAATCCACTTTGAGTTTGTGTGGACACTGCTGTGCGCAATTGGCTGTTGGGTTTTGCCCACAAAATATACAGTCAATTCACTTTACAGTATATTCTGTGAAGCACTTTAAGATGACTCGAAGACATGATAAGGCGCTGTTTCAAAATTCAAGGATTATTATTGTTATTAAAGGAGCCGAGGGAGTGGGACCTAGAAATGGATATCAGTGGATTCTGTCCCAACAACAACTTGCATTTATATAGTGACCCTCACACAGGGTAACATCCCAGAGCGCTTGACAGTGCACTGAATGGGCAGGTTCATCCGGAAACACCCCAGACACAACAAACCAGTGCAGGATCAGAGATGTTCTTTGTAAAAACATTGTCTAATTCAATCCCTAAAATAGTGCATCCTGTGAGATTCAAGAGCTTTACAGTGAAATACTAACAATAGATTTGAAGATCATTGGTATGTTAGTAAAACAGAAAATATGTGAAATATTAATTTCACTAGGTTAGAAAACAGATCACTTCAGTCTGAGTGTTGTGAGCCTTGGTTCAGTGTGTAACTGATTTTCTCATTGTCTGTACAACACAACATCAGCCGATATACACTATGCCTCTCTGTCTGGCTGCCAGGAATAATATGCTTCCTGTCTCAATAAAGCCCTTCCTCTCCCACGGCAGCTCCAAAGCATAAAGATTATCTTAACTGATACATGAGATTGTGTTCGCCTGCACAACACACAATCACTGCACGTTACAGTGAATCCTGTGAAGTGCTTTGAGACGTCCTGCTGACAGGAAAGGCACTGTATCAAATTCAAGGAATACAACAATAACAATTTGACCATTTACACAGCGTCCTTCACGCAGTGACAATCCATAAAAACAACAACAACAGATTACATTTATATAGCGCCTTTCACGTCGGGAGGACATCCCAAGGCACTGGACAGTCAGGGATTTGGACCCGAGCAGGGGGTTGGGATTAGGAGGTTGGAGGCCGAGGAGGAGGGCGGCTGAAGGCTCAGTCAAATAGAAGGGCTTTGAGACGTGCCTTGAAGGAGGCAGCGAGGTGAAGGGACTGTGGGATGGAGTTCCAGAGGGTTGGGCCAGAGAGACTGAAGGCGCTATACAATGTAATTTGTTGTTGTTGTCATCTGAATGAGGAAATCAGAAATCAAACTCCATACGAGGACGAAGGTTCATAGCCAAACTCTGGGTTCACATGAAGAATGGCATGAGTGGGAAAGCACTCATGTGTTGCTGAACAAATCTGTGGCAGTATTTTCTGTTGTTGTTAAAATTGAGATAGTACCACACCCCAACCCCACCCACATACTCTTATCAAGCCATAAGACACATCTGTGCTGTTTAGTAATAACCCTTATATCATGTTGAAACATCTCAAAGCGTCTCACAGGATTTCCTGTAAAGTGTAGCAGTGTGTATGTATTTTGAAAATGAATGCAGCAGCCAATTTGCGCACAGCAATGTCCCACAAACAGCCATGCAGTGAATGACTGATTTTATCTGGGGGATTGTTGGCCGGGACACCAGGAGAGAGAAACTCCCTTCTCTTTTCCAATAGCACCGTGGGATCTTTTAACGTCCACCTGGACAGGCAGGTGGGGCCTCGGTTTAACATCTCATCTAAACTACCGATCGTCCAGCGCTCCCCCAGTACTGTATTAGAGCCTTTCATAATTGATATTAAATATTATTATTTATTATTATTAAAGATACAAAACCCCCGAAATTTCACCCAGTTTTAGCTTGTTAAAAAAAAATCTGAATTACAGCAAGATTTAATAATATTCCGCCTGACATTAAGACAAAATGGTCTCACAGGTTAAGATGAGGTGAAATTTTGGTGCGCAAGAGAGGCTTTGGTATAAGTACACCATTTACAACAACAACAACAACAACAAGATTCCATTTATAAAGCGCCTTTCACGTCAGGAGGACGTCCCAAGGCGCTGCACAGTTGGGTCATGACCCGAGCAGGGGGGAAATGGTCAGGGTGAGGGAAGGGAGGGAGCAAGGAGGGGGGAAATGGTCAGGGTGAGGAGAGGGAAGGGAGGGAGCGAGGAGGGGGAAGAGAGTCGAGAGGGGAGCTGAAGGCACGGTCAAAGAGAAAGGTTTTGAGACCGGCCTTGAAGGAGGAGAGGGAGGAAGCGGCGAAGGCACTGGGGGATGGAGTTCCAGAGCCTGGGGGCTGAGAGGCTGAAGGCCCGACCACCGATGGTAGGGCGGTTGGGGCGGGGGACGTGGAGCAGACCAGAGCCAGAGGAACGGAGGGTACGGGCAGGTAGGTAGGGGGATAGTAGGTTGGAGAGGTAGGAGGGAGCAAGGCCGTGAATGGCCTTGTAGGTGAGGATGAGGATCTTGAAATCAATCCTCTGGGGGATGGGGAGCCAGTGGAGGCGAGCGAGGGTGGGAGTGATGTGGTCCCGAAGCCTGGTGTGGGACAGTACACGAGCTGCAGAGTTCTGAATGACCTGCAGCTTGTGGAGGGAGGTGGCGGGAAGGCCGGCGAGGAGAGAGTTCCCAGCAGCAAGATTATATTTATATAGCACCTTTCACGTTGGGAGGACATCCCAAGGCGCTGGACAGTGTACAGCATTTCAGACAACACAATTTACATTTATAAAAGGTATTTCACGTCTCAAAGCACTTTACAATCTGAACAACATATATTTACATTGACTAAGATGTTGGTTGTGTGGAGTGTCGGCGTACAGATGGTCCTTGGCTGGTCTTTACTGCAGTGGTAATGTGCCTACACTGGAAGCAAGACTGTCTCAAGGGATTACTTTGGAGCTTGTGTGAAGGTGACAATCTATCCCTCTCTCTCTTCCCTGAATAACAACTGTCTTTAAAGATTTATTACATTGTGAAGTCTACAGTCTGAGAGATCATGTTGAGTGATTTTTTTTTGAAACCCATCCTTGGGTCAGGAGCAAAGTGCATGACACACACTCCTCCACCTACCAAACCTTGTACATGTCTGCTTCTGGTTTTAATTAAACTATAGCGCAGGGACCATAGAAAGATAGAAACAGGAAGAGGCCATTCAGCCCCTCGAGCCTGTTCTGCCATTCTATAGATCACATCTGATCTGTACCTCAACTCCGATTACCTGCCCTTGCCCCATATCCCTTGATCATAGAATCATAGAATTATACAGTACAAAAGGAGGCCTCGGCCCATCGTGTCCGTGCCGGCTCTTTGAAAGAGCTGCCCAAATCAATCCCATTTCCCCCCTATCTCCCCATAGCCCTGCAAACTTGTCCTCCCCAAATAATTATCTAATTGATTCCCTGACCTAAGAAATATTTATCCACCTTAGTCTTGAAAATGTGAATGGATTCAGCATCCACAGCCTTTTGGGGGAGAGAGTTCCAGATTTCCACTCCCCTTTGGGTGAAAAACTGCCTCCTGATTTCACTCCTAATGGCCTGGCTCTAATTTTAAGACGATGACCCCTTGTTCTGGATTCCCCACCAGAGGAAATAGTTTCTCTGTAGCTACCCTATCGAATCCCTTTATTATTTTGAAAACCTCAATCAGATCACACTCAACCTTCTAAACTCAAGGGAATAGAGACCAAGTTTATGCAACGTGTCCTCGTAATTTAACCCTTTAAGCCCTGGTATCATTCTGGTGAATATGATCGAACCACGGGACTGAGTGCCTTAACCTAGCAGATGCTTTGATATTAAGAGGGAAGGAAGCGTGGGAATCTAACATGTCTGGGATGTATGTGATGAGCCTCTTTGTGCCTGTGGGTGACATAGAGAAGGCTACTGCTCTACCTTTAGCATCAGATGGTATGAGGAATGAAGGGCAGTCGCTGACTAATGTAGCTTCAATGTATTCCTGAAAGGTTAGCATCGCCTGCCTCCTGAATGGATAAGTACAATTTTATCACCACCCAAATTACTCGTGGTGGGGGGGGGAGGGCAGGTGAATAAACGTCTCCTCCCAGAGGTGGTGTGGGGGTGGAGTGATTTGCTAGGGGGGGTGGGGAGGGAGTGGGGGGTGTTAAGAGTAGAGTTGATTGGGGAGAGCACAGGATAGGGGGGGTAAGAGAGAATTGGACAGGCACGTGCAGAGTTAGAAGATTAGAGGGGAGGGGGAGAGAGCAAAGGAGGAGGGATCGGGTGGATGGCTGCTGGGTGGAGCAAAGACTGGCAGGAATAATGGGCCAACTGGCGGTCCTCTCTAGGATTCATTAAACAGCATGTGATAACTAGACAAAGCTCTTCATTCATACCTTTGATTTCTCATCCACGATTTGCTGACGGACTTCATTGTGTTTGTCAACCAGTTTCTCTTGTCTCTTGCATTGAGCGTCTTCCAACTGCAGAAACATGGGGAGGAGAGATACCATACAGTTAACAGTTACACAGCACCCATCACCATGAGAGTACATCTGTCTCAAAGAGCTTGACGGTGCAGGCTGGGAACCCAAGCAGGGGTGGGAGCAGTGGGGTGGGGGGGAGAGGGAGGGGAAAAGTGATTGAACATGTCGTCAAAGAGGTATGTCTTGAGAAGGAGGCAAGTGAGGGAATGAGTCTGAGGGCCAGAGATGGAGTTCCAGAGAGCGGGGGCAGATAAGCTGAAAACCCAGCGGCAGGTAGTGGAGCGGAACAGGCAGGGCATTGTTGTGCATGACAAGGCCCAGGAACAGAGGGAATCAGAGACTAACATCTTTAAAGTAACTTGTTTATTTTGTAGCATTCCTTTATAAAGTTAAATAACCTGCCTGCTTCACAAAGATTTTCCTTTTCCTTCCAACTACTTATTTACAACAACAACTTGCACTTATATAGTGCCCTCCACGCAAGGTAGCGTGTCAGAGCACTTAACAGAGGCAAAGCCTGATTCCGAGCCGGGAGGGGAGGTGGCCATAAGCATGGCCGAACAGGAAAGGTTTAAGGTGGGACTTGAAAGAGGGAAGAGAGGGGGCAAAGCGGAGGGATTGAGGGAGACCGTTCCACAGTTTTGGGGTGAAAGCACAACCTTCGATGGTGGGGCGGAGGACGCGAGTGGTGGATTGGGGAGTGAGGAGCCCAGAGAGGTAGTGAGGAGCCAGAGAGTGAAGAGATTTGAACACGAGTGTGAAGATTTTGAAGTTGATCCATTCGGTGATGGGGAGCCGTGGAACCTGGCCAGAGCGGGTGAAATGTGGGTATGGAATTTGGTCCGGGTCAGTATGTAGGCGGCAGAGTTCTGAATGAGCTGGGTCTTTTGATTAGTGGAGCTGGGGAGACAGGCGAGGAGTGCATTGTAGTAATCCAAGCGGGAGGTGACAAACGCATACAGGCGGGTTTCAGCTGCATTTGGGGTAAGGTTGGAGGTGGGCAATATGGTAGAGGTGGAAGAAGATGCTCCTGGTCAGGGACCGGATGTGGAAAAAAGGACAGTTGGGGGTCAAACCGGATGCCTAGATTGCGCACTGGTTCGGTGAATCTGAGGGAGAACCCGGGAGGTTGAGGCGTTTAGATTCGCAGGAGTGAAGACGTTGGTGGTGCAAGGGGAGTTTAGCTGGAGGTTGAAATCACACCTTATGAGCAGGTATTCAGTGCAGAGGGACAGGGACTAGAGGGGAGAGGAGATATCAGTGAGGAAACAGCCAGGAGGTTTGTGGGGGGGGGGGGGGGAAGGGGTGGGGGAAGCGATAAACTAGGAGGAATTTAGGGAGAGAGAGGAGGGTGAGGTGCTCTACTATTTAAGCTTTATTTAAGCTTAAACCTCGCTGAGTCGCTGTGGCCAAGCCACTATCACTGATGGATCTCAACTTGTAAAAATTCACAAACATCAACCAGAGGCTCGGGTCAGGGTCACCATTTGACACTCGGGCTGTCACCATTCGACACTCACCCTCTTTATAGATTGCACTACCTCATGAATATATGAACGGATTATTTCAGTCTTTTCCCTGCAAGAAACACAAATTAGTTATTTTACAATCCAGCTTTTCGGCATCTGACACACGTAGGAACTAATCACTGTGATCAGGTGGTATCTGACACACATGGAAACCCTTCACGGTGATCAAGCCGGGTGTCTGACACACACAGAAATGCATCATTGTGCATTTCTAGGTCTCCAGACCTGACCTAGAGGTCCTCATATTGTCCAGCTACGACCATTCTACCATTTAGGGCTTTGCCTTACAGGGTTAACTGTGCTGTGTGGGAAGAGTCCCACTTTGAGATGTCTCAAACACGTGATAAGGCCCTATATCAAGGATTATTATTAGTAGTATTATATATTATTATTATTATTATGATAATCATTGCATTTAATTCAGTGCCTTTCCCATGTGAAGGATGTGCTCAAAGCGCTTCACAGGATTCATGGTAAAGTGCAGTTACTGTTTAATTTGTAAATTAATGAAATGTATTGGTTTTGTGATGAGCTGTTTCTACTTAGTCAGTGGAAGATCTAATAGGGAGTTTGGGAGGAGTTTCTTTATGTAGAATGTGGAACTCAAGTGAATGACCAAGTTTATCTGGGGGATTGTTGGCCAGGCACTGAGGTTTAACGTCTCATTTGAAGGACGGCACCTCTGACAATGCAGTACCCCCCTCCCCTCCCCAGCACTGGACTGGAGCCTTAGCCTGGATTGTGAGCCCAAAGTCCTGATGTGGGATGTGAGCCTGCAACTTTCTGACTTGGAGATAGTTGAGAGCTCAACTGACTGAACTGACTGTCAGTTTATGGTGAAAAAGATAATAACATTAAAATAATAATAATCCTTGCATTTGATTTAGCGCCTTATTATGTTTATGAGACATCTCTCAAAACGGTTCACAGAATATACTGTAAAGTGAATTGACTGTATATTTTGTGGGCGAAACGTGGCAGCCAATTGTGCACAGCAGTGTCCCACAAACAGTTGTGGACCGAGCGACCAAATTATTATTATTATTATTTACTTTTTGAAGGGATTATTACACCCAGAAAAGTGCTCTGCCAATCGACCTACAACCGGGTTCCTACTTACTGTTAGGTAAACAGAGGCAGGTGGAGTAAGGAAACTTGTCCAACGTTTCGCCCTGCCTGGGAATCAAACCCAGGTCTTCTCGCTTGCTGTGCTGTAAGTCTGTAACCACTAAGCTACAGGACACCACTCCTTTGATGTAGGTTTTGGAGCTTCGGGGGTTATATATGTGCTAAAATTTCCCATTGACTGAAACTCTGTTTGTCACCACCTCAACAAGTTTGAAGTACTTACTCTTCCATTTGATTTTTATCTTTTGATTTGGCTTCAGTGATCTTCTCCTGACGTTTTTTATCCATTTTCTTTTTCAACTCTTTCTTTTCCCTGAAATTGAGAACAATTGGTTGAATTTGAGGCTGATTTAAATCACAACATTAATACTCACTGTATATCTGAGGCCATCTCACATCACAGTACTAATACTCACTGAGGCCATCTCACAGCCTTAATACTCATTGTATATTTGAGGGAATCACATAATTAATACTCACTGTATATCTGAGGGTGTCACAGCATTAATACTCACTGTATATCTGAGGCTATCTCAGAATCACAGCATTAATACTCACTGTATTAATCACCATTTGTTACACTGATGCCCTGTTAAAATGCTCTTACTTTTCACAAAGCTCTTTGAGTTTCTTCAGCTGGTTGGCCTGGCATTCCTCACAGACCTCTGTCAACTTCTGTACCAGCTACAAAGAGCAGAGAACATGTCAGCTACATGTGAGCAGGTAAACAGCTCTTACTAAGTCTTCCTTATTCATTAAACGGCCTACCTCAATATTGTCCAGGCCTGACCATGCCAGCTCCTCCCCACACAAGCTGTAGACCAGCCAGAACTCTGCAGCTTGTTTCCTCTCCCGTACCAGGCTTCGTGATCCTAACACCCCCATAATAATAATAATAATCCTTGCCTTTAGATATAGCACCTTATCACGTCGTTGAGACATCCCAAAGTGCTTCACAGAATATAATGTAAAGTGAATTGACTGTATATTTTGTGGGTGAAACACGGCAGCCAATTGTGCACAGCAGTGTCCCACAAACAGCCGTGGATTGAGTGACCAGCTTATTATTTATTTATTTTTGAAGGGATTACTACCCCCGGAAAAGCGATCCACCAATCGACTAACAACCGGGTTCCTACTCACTGCTAGGTAAACAGAGGCGTGTGGAGTAAGGAAACTTGCTACAGGACTCCCACAGGACTTACGTGGTTCTGACGAGTTAAGTCAGGAATTTACTGTGTATTAAATTGTATTGTGAAATATATCACATTGTTATTGTAAAGTCAGATAGTATTAGTGGTGAGGAAGACTTGGAAATAATCCTCTTTGTTCCTAAATCCTCGCATTTGATACAGTGCCTTTCATGTTCAGGAGCACGTCTTAAAGACCTTCGCAGGATTCACTATAAAGTATAGTGACTGTGTGTTTTGTAGACAAACGTTACAAAATTAAGCGCGGCTCAAGAGATGGCTGGACCTTGTCTGGAACTCCATCCCACAGTCCCTTCACTTCGCTGACTCTCTTGCCTCCTTCAAGGCACATCTCAAGACTCTCCTCTTCGACCATGCCTTCAGCCACCCTCCTACCTCTACCCTCCCTCTCTCCACCCTTCCTGATCCCGACCCCCAGCTCGGGTCCAAATCCCTGATTGTCCAGCGCATTGGGACGTCCTCACGATGTTAAAACCTCTATACAAATATAATTTGTTGTTGTTGTCGTAAACTGTCTGCATTGTATGTTTCCAAGTTACAGCTTGACTGTGCCGTTTACTCACCTGTTTAACGTGCTCCCGTTTCTGGTATTTCTCGCTGTAATACTGCTCCTGCCTCACACTCAGCAACTGCTCCTGTTGCTGTTCTTTCAGCTCCGCCGATTTCTGGGTTATTTCTGCGTCGAGCACAGTAAGCTCCTGCTCAGCAGCCGATGTTGGGTGCTCTGGACTTGCCGACTCCACCCTGTCGATAGCAAGATCATTTTGTGTTAACAGCTGGTTTTATCACAGCAAAAAATAACTATACCATTCCCCTCTTTGTTTGGTCAGCCAAATGTCTGACAAACACGGAAATCCATCACCGTGATCAGCCGGATGTCCCTATCACACAATACAGTATTACATTTCTATATCGCCTGGAGGGACACATCCTATTTACCTAATTCCGGAAAGTATTAGGTGCAGATTGTCAAGAGCCAAGGTTAGGGACCCCATAGTGTGCATTGGGGTAACTGCTGGAGTCTAACCAGCTAAAACTACATAGCTTGCCATTGATATTGCTGTCTGGTAAGGTTTCTCACTGCTTGTCCATCTAGGACCACCTTACCATTAGGGCTTTGGCTTGTAGGGTTATCGCCCACAAATATACAGTCAATTCACCTTACAGTATATTCTGTGAAGCACTTTGAGACGTCTGGAAGACGTGAAAAGCGCTATATCAAATGCAAGGATTATTATTTTTTATTATTATCAGGAGCTGAGTGGGATGATTCCCTGCCCCAAGTGACTGGTTTGCCCTTCCAGGTTCTGCCGATGAGCCAGACTGGGCTGTGCTGTCATCAGCAGAGTGTGGTGATTGTGTGTTTTGTAGATGAACCAATTTGCATGCAGCAATGCTCCACAAACGGCCATGAAGTGAGTGAACAATTTTAGCGGGTGGATTTATGGCCAGGGCATAATATTGTATTGTTTTGTTTCCCCAACTGAAGGAAATTAGGATAAAATCTGTGGTCATTTTAAAATCTTTCCTTGTGTCAGCCTGGCTCAGTGGTAGCGCTTTCATCTCTGAGTCAGAAGGTTGTGGGTTCAAGCCCCACGGCAGGACTTGGAATCACATGGTCTAAGCTGATACTCCAGTGCAGGACTAGGGGGTGTTGGACTGTTGCAGGTACCATGCTTCGGATGAGACGTTAAACCGAGGTCCCATCTGTCTGTTAAGGTGGATGTTAAAGATCCCATAGCACTATTTCAAAAGAGAAGGGAGTTTCTCTCTCCTGGTGACCTGGCCGACAATCCTCCAAATAAAATTGGTCACTCACTCCACGGCTGTTTGTGGGACATTGCTGTATGCAAAACCGGTGATGTGTTTTGTCCATAAAATACAGTAAATCTTGTAAAGCGCTTTGAGACGTCTCAACGACGTGGTAAGGCTCTATATTAAGAAATGTGTCACATCTCTCAGCAGGGGGCGCACCCCTTTCCAAGTAAATGGTTTGTTCCTCTCCACTGCCCAAGTCCATTTTTTGATCCTGGAGTGTGAGTTTTTCCATGTGTCAGCTTTTGGCTCTACATTGAGCTCCAAGTTATTTGTTTCTGTTAAATCTTGTGAGAAAACGACTCACAGGTGTCTAACATATTAAATCGGATTGAAAAACTAATCCCATATCAATACTTTTAGACGTCCTAAAACAGCAGAGAAAGATAGGTTTAAAAACAATTTTAGGACAGACACCAGGAAGTATTTCTTTACCCAGAGGGTAATTAATGACTGGAACAGATTACCAGGAAGGTGGGGTTAAGGCCAGGACACTGGGACTCATTTGAAAAGCAGCTGGATCTACCTCAGATGGGGGGGACATTAGGGTAGGCGTTCTGGAGGGATGACATCAGCTGGGCTGAAGGGTTTTGTCTGAACCTCTTGTGTGATCTTGTGAGAATGATCTAATCTACATGCAACTACATGGCTGACTCTTATCACCCTCAGTCAGAATTCCCAGAGGACAGGTCATGTAGCAATAACAATTTGTATTTACGCAGTGCCTTTCATGCGGGGCAGCGTCTTGGAGCGCTGTACATCGGTGCAGTTGGACGCTGAGGGAGGAAGAGTGAAGAGGGAGGAGATGACACAGGCACTGTCAAAGAGGTAGATTTTCAGATGGGATTATTAAGATTGATATAAAATATAAAAAATTTGGTCACTCAAATCCACAATTGTTTGTGGGACACTGCTGTGCACAATTGGTTGCGCATTTTGCCCACAAAATATACAGTCAATTCACTTTACAGTCTATTCTGTGAAGTGCTTTGAGATGTCTCGAAGACGTGATAAGGCGCTATATCAAATCAGAGATTATTATTATAAAGAGGGGCCAAGAAGGAGGGAAGGGGGGTGGGGGTTGAGGCAGGGAGTTCCGGAGGTTAGGGACTCAGTGGCTGAAGGAGTGAACCCTGAATGATGACAGTGAGGGTTGGGGGTGGGGTTGGGGAAGGTGCAGCAGGTCTGTGATAGCCGAGCGACAGGGGAAGCGGAGGAGAGGGGCAGGGCAGAGAGGTGCTGGGGACACGACATGCGACACATTCTGAGCTGAGTTTCAGAGAGTATCTGAGAAGGGCTGACTCACGTACCTCTTCTTACCATCTCTCTTTGCCGATTTTTCCAGCAGGACTCGGCGACGCATGTATTCACTCTGTAGCTCGCTGTACCTGGCTGTGTGCTCTTTGATCAGGTCACTGGTCTTCTTGTGATGTCGCTTCACCAATTCCTTCATCTCTTTGTAATGTTTCTTCTGTAGCTTCACAAACCCTTTCTGTTGCCTTAGCTCCTCAATGGTCTGGGCTTCCATCTCTACCATTGGTTCATAGAAAACCGCCAGTCAGTCACCGCCACACAGAGCAGAGGGTTATTCTTTGGTCAGCCGGGTGTCTGACACATGCGGAAACCTATCACCGTGCTTAAGAGTTCCAAACCTAGCGTGAAGCAGGTCGGTTCCCACTGAGCGAAGGGAGCGCTGGGTGAGTAGCTTTTGAGAAGGTCACAGAGGTTGGGTGGGGCAAGACCATGGAGGGATTTAAAGGTGAGGACGAGGATGTTGAACTCTACCCTCTGGGGGATGGGGAGTCAGTGGAGCCGGACGAGGGTGGGGGCGATAACAACAATAGCCCTTCCCCCCCATTTAATATAGCCCACTGACGTTGGGAATGGGCGTCTGGAGTGGGGGGGCAGTGTGAGTGGGAGGGCAGTGTGGGTGTGGGGGGAGCAGTGTGGGTGTGGGGGGAGCAGTGTGGGTGTGAGCAGTGTGGGTGTGGGGGGGAGCAGTGTGGGTGTGGGGGGGAGCAGTGTGGGTGTGGGGGGAGCAGTGTGGTGTGGGGGGAGCAGTGTGGGTGTGGGGGGGAGCAGTGTGGGTGTGGGGGGGAGCAGTGTGGGTGTGGGGGGGAGCAGTGTGGGTGTGGGGGGGAGCAGTGTGGGTGTGGGGGGGGAGCAGTGTGGGTGTGGGGGGGGAGCAGTGTGGGTGTGGGGGGGAGCAGTGTGGGTGGGAGCAGTGTGGGTGGGAGCAGTGTGGGTGGGAGCAGTGTGGGTGTGGGGGGGAGCAGTGTGGGTGTGGGGGGGAGCAGTGTGGGTGTGGGGGGAGCAGTGTGGGTGTGGGGGGGAGCAGTGTGGGTGTGGGGGGGAGCAGTGTGGGTGTGGGGGCAGTGTAGGTGGGGTGGGGGCAGTGTGGGTGCGGGGTGGGGGGCAGTGTCAGAGCTTACCTGACAGGACGCTTTGAATGAGATCTTCTGCCTTTCCCGGGGGGCTTTTCACTGACGCTGAGACAAAATGTAAAGGTTTGTGGTTAAAGCAGGAAATCGTACCATTGTCACTGCAACTTTCAAACGATGAGCTGTTGGCAGTTTATAAGAAGAGGCGAGGTGAGGGTTGGGCGCTGATGGTGCCTACCTGGCGCTGGCTGGAGTTGGGCTGCTGGCCCGGCAGGTTTGGGGGTCTGGGCAGGTGTGGGGCTCACCCCATTCTCGTCTGTCGTCGGTTTCGGCTCATTACTTGGCTCCATAGCGATTTCCCCAGGTTCAGCCTGAACAACAATCATAACAACAACAATTTGCCTTTACTCGCTCAGTGGTTAGAGCACTTGCCTCGAAAAGCGAGAGGAGCCGGGTTCGATTCCCGGGCAGGGTGAAACGGTAGGCAAGTTTCCTTACTCCACACGCCTCTGTTTACCCAGCAGTAAGTTGAAACCGGTTGTTAGTCTATTGCTGGATCGCTTTTCCCTTCAAAACATAAATAAATAATAATAATTTGGTCACTGAAACCACAACCGTTTGTGGGATACTGTTGTGTGCAATTGGCTTGATATAGTGCCTTATTACGCCTTCTAGACATCTCAAAGCGCTTCACACAATATACTGTGAGGGAATTGACTGTATATTTTCTGGACAAAACATGGAAGCTAATTGCGCACAGCAGTGGCCCACAAACAGTCACAGATTAGAGTGGCCACATTTTTTTTAAGGAATTATTACCCCGGGAAAAGCAATCCGCCAATCGACTAACAGCCAGATTCCTGCTTACTGCTAGAGGCATGTGGAGTAAGGAAACTTGCCCAACATTTTGCCCTGCCCGGGAATCAAACCCAGATTCTCTCGCTTGTGAGCCAAGAGGACCTGGGTTCAATAACAACAAACTGCGCCTTTCACATTGGGAGGATGCCCCAAGGCACTGGATGGTCAGTGGGTGTTTTGGTGGAATGAAATCCATTCCTTAGTGGGTCGGAGTCATTTTTTCATGACCACACACTCACCTCTGTCTGATACGTGGAAACCCATCATTGTGCTTAAGAGTATACAAATGAGACTGAGTTCCGCGTTTCTTACCTACACCTGGAAATTCCCATATCTGAATGGAATGCACACTCTCTCCCTGAAGGGACGCACCCTGTATACCTAATTCGGCAGAGGCTAATAAAAGCCAAGGCTGGGGGAGTCCAGAGTGCGCTTTGGGGTAACTGTTAGAGTCTAACCAGCTATACCAGCATAGCTTGTTACTGATAGCACAACCTGGCAAGCTTTCCCACTGGTTGTCCAGCTAGGACCACCCTAGCCATTAGGGCTTTGGTTGCAGGGTTAACAGGAGCTGAGTGAGATGACTCACTGCACTTCCAGATCCTGCCGATGAGCCAGGATGTTAGGGTGGGCGGGATGGTTGTTAGGGCTGGGCGCTGGGGCTGGTCGTCGGGGCGGGCGGGCTGGTCGTCGGGGGGGGGCTGGTCGTCGGGGCGGGCGGGCTGGTCGTCGGGGCGGGCGGGCTGGTCGTCGGGGCGGGCGGGCTGGTCGTCGGGGCGGGCGGGCTGGTCGTCGGGGCGGGCGGGCTGGTCGTCGGGGCGGGCGGGCTGGTCGTCGGGGCGGGCGGGCTGGTCGTCGGGGCGGGCGGGCTGGTCGTCGGGGCGGGCGGGATGGTTGTCAGTTGTTGTTAGGTGTGCAGCTGAAGGAGATGAAAGCCTCTCACGTCTTTCTTGTCCTCTTCCTCGTCCTCCAGAGTGAGAGCCGCCAACTGCTGGGCTCTCTGCTCCATCAGGTTCACATAGCGGATCGGGTTAGACAGGGCCTCGATCACATCTGTCAGCACAAAGCACACAAGACTATCACACACTCAGGACTTTCACACGCTCACCACTATCACACGCTCACCACTATCACACGCTCACCACTATCACACGCTCATAAATGCAAGGATTATTATTATAACAACAACAAAAGTCACGGTTGTTATAATAATAATCCTTGCATTTGATATAACACCTTATCACATCTTCGAGACGTCTCAAAGCGCTTCAAATAGCGAATTGACTGTATATTTTGTGTACACACAGACACACACAGACTCACAGACACACACACACTCACAGACACACACACACTCACAGACACACACACACTCACAGACACACACACACTCACAGACACACACACACTCACAGACACACACACACTCACAGACACACACACACTCACAGACACACACAAAGCCACACTCATGCACATATACTCAAACAGATACACACACACACAAGTACACACACACACATACACGCTCATGCATATACACACTGACGCAGATACACACCCATGCAGATATACATGTAGGTACACAAATATGTGGCATACAATATACACACTCAAGACACACATACATACAGACACACACACACACACACACACACACACACACACACAGAGCTGAGGTGTTCAGAGGCAGCTCAGCACAATGTCTAGCGCTCATTGAGAAGCTGCTGTGAGGCAGTGGAGTGTGTGACACTGGATAACATACCACACATCAGTCACATCCCATGTACTGACACTCCTTTTTACCTGCAAAAGTGTCTGGAACATAATCCTTCACCTCGATATACACGAAGACAGAGGGAAGCATCAGTGGCTGATTCTTTTCATTCCTCATACAGATATAGCGATAACCTGACACAGAACATAGTAATATTACAACTTGTATTTACACGATACCCCTCACACAGGGTAGCATCCCAGAGTGCTTGACAATAGCGGAGCATGACACTGAGCCGGTGGAAGGTGACCATAAGCATGGTCGAAGGAGGAAGGTCTTCAGCCACGACCTGACATGGGGAATGAAGGTGGAGGGATAGAGGAAGAGTATTCCAGAGTTTCAGAGCATAGTGGCTGAAAGCACGGTCACCGATGGTGGAACAGAGGGCACAGGGGATATGCAGAAGGCCAGAACCGATCGAGTGGAGGCAGCGGGCAGTGGGTTGGGGAGTAAGCAGGTTGGAGAGGTAGGAAATGAAGGGATTTGAAAACGAGTGTGAGGATCTTGAAATCGATCCGTTTGGCGATAAGGAGCCAGTGAAGCCACTGGCTAGGACTGGTGTAATGGGAGTTTATTACACTGAAATTTCCCCCCCACCTTTAACAGTATTAGCAATGTTAACAATAACACCTCTGATCTCATCATCTCCTGTCCTCTATCTAATGGTTTCCTTTGTCTTTCTTTCCTCGCCCCTTTCTATGTTTGTCCTTATAAGCTTCTACCTTCCAACATCCCCAGCTCTGATGAAAAGTCATCGATCTGAAACGTTAACTTTTCTCTTTCCATAGATGCCCCTGACATGCTGAGTGATCCCAGGGATTTCTATTTTTGTTTTCAGAGGTGTTTGTGTTGGTTAACTCCTCGGCACTTTACAGCCCATTGGCCTCAACATTGATTTTATCCACTTCAGACATTAACCACAGCTCCCATCTTCTTTCAGCCTTACCTTCTCACCCCCTTCACCCTTCTCTAACCATTCACGCATCCTCTGAGTCTCAGATACATCTTTTATTTCTATAATCTAATAGAATTTAAGATAATTGTCAAAAGAAACAGAGGGGAGGTGAGGAGAATTTTTTTCACACAGCGAGTTGTTTGGAACTGGAATGCATTGCCTGAAAGGGTGGTGGAAGCAAATTCAACAACAACTTTCCAGCAAGAATTGATAGGTATTTGGGGAGGGCAAGTTTGCAGGGCTATCGGGAGAGAGTGGGGGAGTGGGACTAATTTGGATAGCACTTTCAAAGAGCCAGCACAGATACGATGGGCCAAATGGCCTCCTCTGTGCTGTATAATTCTATCATTCTATGATTCTAATCTCCCACCATTGCCTAATTTCGTCCTACATCATTAACACCTCTGATCTCATCATCTTTTGTCCTCCACCTCATTTATTAATTTGTCTTTCTTTCCCCACCGCCTTCTCTGTTTGTCCTTATAAACTGCTCCCTTCCAACATTGGACGAAAGGTTATCGACCTGAAACGTTAACTTACTTCCCTCTCTCCATAGATGCTACAACAACAACTTGCAGTTATATAGCGCCTCCACACTGGGCGGCGTCTCAGAGCGCTCAACAATGGTGGAGCCCGAGGCTGAGCCAGGGGGAGCGGGAAAGTGACCGTAGGCGCGGTCGAAGATGAACGTCTTCAGGCGCGACCTGAAAATGGGGAACGAGGGGGCAAGGCGAAGGGATTGAGGGAGTGAGTTCCACAGCTTGGTGGTGTAGTAGCTGAAGGCACAGCTGTCGATATGGAGCAGAGGATTCGAGGGACAAGGAGGATGCCGGAGCCAGCAGAACCCAGTAGATGCTGCCTGACCTGCTGAGTGGTCCCAGCCACTTCTGATTCTATTACAGATTTCCAGCATCTGCACTATTTTGCCTTTTGAACATTACAGTGACCTACAATGACTGATAACCAGACAAACAGCACATTACACAGCAGCGACAGCAACAGTATAAAGGTTTCTACAGGTTGTTTAGTGTAGCAGCTTACCTGGACGGAGAGCTTGAACAGGCAGGATCCGATGGCCGATGAATTTACCGCCTTCCTCGTAGACAGCTAACCTCAATGAACACAAGGACGGCAGCACCACCTGGCAGCGGAATAGGGAACATTTGAGAGATCACTGCAACATCACATAGCAAAGCTCTCTGTGTGGGGAGTGTGGGGGATATGGATGAGGGGTGTGGGGGATATGGATGAGGGGTGTGGGGGATATGGATGAGGGGTGTGGGGGATATGGATGAGGGGTGTGGGGATATGGATGAGGGGTGTGGGGGATATGGATGAGGGGTGTGGGGGATATGGATGAGGAGTGTGGGGATATGGATGAGGAGTGTGGGGGATATGGATGAGGAGTGTGGGGGATATGGATGAGGAGTGTGGGGGATATGGATGAGGAGTGTGGGGGATATGGATGAGGAGTGTGGGGGATATGGATGAGGAGTGTGGGGGATATGGATGAGGAGTGTGGGGGATATGGATGAGGAGTGTGAGGAGGATTTGAGAGTGACCGAGGGGCTTTATGAAGAGCACTAAAAGTGATGAGAATTGGTTTAAATACATCTCATGCAGTAAAAGTGAGATGAAACAATTGTAATAATACTTGCATTTACACAGTGCCCCTCATGCAGGATAGCGTCCCAGAGCGCTTGACAATGGCGGAGCACGACTCCGGGGGGAGGTGACCGTAGGCGCAGTTGAAGAGGAAGGTCTTCAGGGGTGAAGTGAATGTGGGGAAGGAAGGGGCAAGGTGAGTTGGGGGATAAGCAGATTGGAGAGGTAGGGAGGTTGAAGCCGGGCGACTCATCGCCAGAACATACAGACCTTTTTAAACACAATTGGCTCTTCATCCCAGACAGGATTCACCGCGTTTCCCTGGGATGTTTTTGTTTTGAAAGCTTTGCGTCTGGTGTCCACGGGAAGCCCAAACACGTCCACCTCCACGTACGTGCCCACCTTCTTATCCGAAAGAAACTGCCCTGAAATTATCTGAAGGAAACGAGAAGATCACAAAAGAATATTGCAGTGATTGAGAGGATCCAGAGGAGGGGAGAGTGGAGAGGAGTGGAGGGGAGGGAAAAGGGGGAGAGTAGGGGCCCGAGGAAGAGACGAGGGGGAAATGAGAAGAGGGAGAGGAAGGGACAGGGGAGGGGGAGATGAGGAGGGGGAGAGGAGAATGGAGGTGGGGAGAGGAGAATGGAGGTGGGAAGAGGAGGAGTGGGGAGATGAGGTGGGAGAGGAGTGAGAGGAGGGGGAGATGAAGAGGAAGGATAGAAGGGGGGGGTCATACCTTGACGGAGAGGGTATTAGCGACGATGCCGTCCACAGTGCTCTCAGTGAAGGGGTCGAAGTGCTTGTCGTTACGTCTCATAAACTCTGGCTTCAGGCGGAAACCGCTCTTCCCGTTGTACTCAAACATTCCCATGTTCAGCTGCATCGGCAGGTCTGTGTAACACAGCACAGCATCACCGTGTGATCACACTGTGTAACACAGCACAGCATCACCGTGTGATCACACACACAATGAGACTCAGGCACACATACACTCACACACACACATGTGCACACTCACATGCACACACTCGTGTCACTCTGTGTGTGACTGTGTAACACTGTGTGACTCTGTCACTTTGTGGGTGACCCTGTGTGTCACTATGTGTCTGTTTAGCTGTGTGTTTCTGTGTGTGCGTGTGAGACTGTGTGTGTGTGTGTATGTATGTGACTGTGACTGTGTGTGTGAGACTGTGTGAGTGTGTGTTATTATGCGTGACTGTGTGTGTGTGTTACTGTGCTTGACTGTGTGTTACTGTGTGTTTGTGTCATTGTGTGTGACTATGTCACTAACCCAGTGTCTGGAAGTTGAGTGCTACGAGCTGACAGCCGGCATTCCAAAAGACCTGAGGCATGTAGTTGGAGGAATCCACACGGGTTCCCTTGGGGTAAATGCGGCTCATCTGCCTTTTATTGTATCTGCACAGCTACAGCTAAGGACACATAGTTCTCACAGCTCACAGGGAAACACACAGCTCACAGGGAAACACACAGCTCACAGGGAAACACACAGCTCACAGGGAAACACACAGCTCACAGGGAAACACACAGCTCACAGGGAAACACACAGCTCACAGGGAAACACACAGCTCACAGGGAAACACACAGCTCACAGGGAAACACACAGCTCACAGGGAAACACACAGCTCACAGGGAAACACACAGCTCACAGGGAAACACACAGCTCACAGGGAAACACACAGCTCACAGGGAAACACACAGCTCACAGGGAAACACACAGCTCACAGGGAAACACACAGCTCACAGGGAAACACACAGCTCACAGGGAAACACACAGCTCACAGGGAAACACACAGCTCACAGGGAAACACACAGCTCACAGGGAAACACACAGCTCACATCTCCAACGAAACACACAGCTCACAGCTACACACACAGCTCACAGCTACACACACAGCTCACAGCTAAACATACAGCTCACAGCTAAACACACAGCTCACAGCTAAACACACAGCTCACAGATAAATATACAGCTGAACACACAGCTCATAGTTAAACACACAGCTCACAGCTAAACACACAGCTCACATCTCCAGCTAAACATACCGCCAAACGCGCAGCCCACAGCCAAACGCGCAGCCCACAGCCAAACGCGCAGCCCACAGCCAAACGCGCAGCCCACAGCCAAACGCGCAGCCCACAGCCAAACGCGCAGCCCACAGCCAAACGCGCAGCCCACAGCCAAACGCGCAGCCCACAGATAAATACACAGCTAAACACACAGCTCACAACTAAACCCACAGTTCACAGCTAAACACACAGCTCACAGCTAAACACACAGCTCACATCTCCAGCTAAACATACTGCTAAATACACATCTCACAGCTAAATACACAACTCACAGTTAAACACACAGCTCACAGTAAAATACACAGCTCAGAGCTAAACACACATCTCCATCTTAACACACAACTAAAAAGGCAACTCACAGCTCACAGCTAAACACACAGCTCACAGCTTAAGATACATCTCCAGCTTAACACACAACTAAACACATAACTCACAGCTAAACACAAGGCTCATAGTTAAACACACAGCTCACAGCTAAACACAGCTAAACACACAGCTCATAGTTAAAAACACAGTTCACAGCTAAACACACAGCCTACAGCTAAACTCACAACTCAGTTAAACACACAGAGCTAAACACACAGCTCACAGCAAAACACACAGCTCACAACTCCAGCTAAACACACAGCTAAATACTCAACCCACAGCTGAAGACACAGCTCAGAGCTAAGCACACAGCTAAACACACAATTCACAGCTAAACACACAGCTAAAATACACAACTCACAGCTAAACATACAGTTCAACACACAGCCCAGATAAACACACAACTCACGTCTCCAGCTAAACACGCAGCTCAGAGCTAAACACATAGCTCAGAGGTAAACACATAACTCACAGCTGAACACACAACTAAACACACAGTTCAAATCTCCATCTAAAAACACAGCTAAATACCCAACTCAGTTAAACACACAACTAAACACACAACTCACAGCTAAACACACAATTAAACACACAACACAGCTAAACACACAACTCACAGCTAAACACACAACTAAGACACACAGCTCACAGAAAAACGCACAGCTCACATCTGCTAAACACACAGTTCACAGCTAAACACACAGTTCACAGCTAAACACACAGCTCACAGCTAAACACACAGCTCACAGCCAAATACACAGCTTAACACACAGCTCACAGCTAAACACACAGCTAAACACACAATTCATAGCTAAACACACAGTTCATAGCTAAACACACAGTTCATAGTTAAAACACACAGTTCATAGTTAAAACACACAGTTCATAGTTAAAACACACAGCTAAACACACAACTCACAGCTAAACCCAGAGCTTAAACCAACAGCTCACAGTAAACACACAGCTCACATCTCCACCTAAACACACAGCTCACAGCTTAACACACAGTTCACAGCCAAATACACAGCTTAACATACAGCTCACGGCTAAACATACAGCTCACGGCTAAACACACAGCTCAGAGCTAAACACACAGCTAAACACACAGCTCACAGCTAAACACACAGCTCACAGCTAAACACACAGCTCACAGCTAAACACACAGCTCACAGCTCCACACACAGCTAAACGCACAAATCAGAGCTAAACACAAAGCTCACATATCATTACACAGCTGAACACACAGCTCACTGCTAAACACACAGCCCACAGACAAACACAACTCACAGCTAAACACACAGCTCAACACACAACTCACATCTCCAGCTCAACACACAGCCCAGAGCTCAGCACACAGCCCAGAGCTCAGCACACAGCCCAGAGCTCAGCACACAGCCCAGAGCTCAGCACACAGCCCAGAGCTCAGCACACAGCCCAGAGCTCAGCACACAGCCCAGAGCTCAGCACACAGCACAGAGCTCAACACACAGCTAAATACACAACTCACAGCTAAACATACAGCTCACCACACAGCTCACAGATAAATACACAGCTAAACACATAGCTCACAGCTAACCACACAGCTAAACACAAAACTCACAGCTAAACATACAGCTTACAGATAAATACACAGCTAAACACACAGCTAAACACACAGCCCACAGCTAAACACACAGCCAACAGCTAAACACACAGCTAAATACACAACTCACAGCTAAATACACATCTCACGCCTCCAGCTAAACACATAGCTCATAGCTAAACACACAGCTCATAGCTAAACACACAGCTCACAGCTAAACACACAGCTCATAGCTAAACACACAGCTCATAGCTAAACACACAGCTCATAGCTAAACACACAGCTCATAGCTAAACACACAGCTCATAGCTAAACACACAGCTCATAGCTAAACACACAGCTAAATATACAACCCACACCTAAACGAACAGCTCAACACACAGCTCACAGCTAAACACACAACTCACATCTGCAGCTAAACACACAGCCCATAGCTAAACACACGGCTCACAGCTAAACACACGGGTCACATCTCCAACTAAACACACAGTTCATAGCTAAACACACAGTTCATAGCTAAACACACAGTTCATAGCTAAACACACAGTTCATAGCTAAACCCAGAGCTCAAACCAACAGCTCAACGATAAACACACAGCTCACAGCAAAATGGACAGCTCACATCTCCAGCTAAACACAGCTCATAGCTAAACACACAGTTCATAGCTAAACACTCAGCTAAAAACACAGCTCACATCTAAACACACAGCTCACAGCTAAACATACAGCTAAACTTATAATTCACAGCTAAACACACAGCTTACATCTCCAGGTAAACAAACAGCTCAGAGCTAAACACACAGCTCAGATATAAACACACAGCTCACAGCTAAAAACACAGCTCACAGCTAAACACACAGCTCAGAGTTAAACACACAGCTCACAGCTAAACACACAGCTCAGAGCTAAACACACAGCTCACAGCCAAATACACAGCTTAACATACAGCTCACAGCTAAACACACAACTCACATCTGCAGCTAAACACACAGCCCATAGCTAAACACACGGCTCACAGCTAAACACAAGGCTCACAGCTAAACACATGGGTCACAGCTAAACACATGGGTCACATCTCCAACTAAACACACAGCTCACAGCTAAACACAAGGCTCACAGCTAAACACATGGCTCACAGCTAAACACATGGGTCACATCTCCAACTAAACACACAGCTCACAACTAAACACACAGCTCACAGCCAAATACACAGCTTAACATACAGCTCACAGCTAAACTCACAGCTAAACACACAGCTCACACCTAATCGCACAGCTCACAGATAAATATACAGCTGAACACAAAGCTCAGAGCTACACTCACAGCTCACAGCTACACAGCTCACAGCTGAACACAGAGCTTAAAACAATAGCTCACAGATAAATACACAACTAAACACACAACTCACATCTCCAGCTAAACACACTGGTTGGAGAGGGGAGGGGCTGGTTGTGAAGGGGTGGGGTTAGTTGGGGAGGGGCTGGTTGTGAAGGGGTGGGGTTAGTTGGGAGGGGCTGGTTGTGAAGGGGTGGGGTTAGTTGGGAAGGGGCTGGTTGTGAAGGGGAGGGGTTAGTTGGGAAGGGGCTGGTTGTGAAGGGGAGGGGTTAGTTGGGGAGGGGCTGGTTGTGAAGGGGAGGGGTTAGTTGGGGAGGGGCTGGTTGTGAAGGGGTGGGTTAGTTGGGAAGGGGCTGGTTGTGAAGGGGAGGGGCTGGTTGTGAAGGGGAGGGGTTAGTTGGGGAGGGCTGGTTGTGAAGGGGAGGGGTTAGTTGGGAGGGCTGGTTGTGAAGGGGAGGGGTTAGTGGGGAGGGGCTGGTTGTGAAGGGAGGGGTTAGTTGGGGAGGGGCTGGTTGTGAAGGGGAGGGGGGGTGGGTGAATGGGAGGTTGTTTGTGAAGGGGAGGCTGGTTGTGAAGGGGAGGGTTAGTAGGGAGGGGCTGGTTGTGAAGGGGAGGGGTCAGTTGGGGAGGGGCTGGTTGTGAAGGGGAGGGGTTAGTGTGAAGGGGAGGGGCTGGTTGTGAAGGGGAGGGGCTAGTTGGAGAGGGGAAGGGTTGCTGTGAAGGAGAGGGGTTACTGTGAAGGGGAGGAGTTACTGTGAAGGGGAGGAGTTACTGTGAAGGGGAGGGGTTACTGTGAAGGGGAGGGGTTACTGTGAAGGGGAGGGGTTACTGTGAAGGGGAGGGGTTACTGTGAAGGGGAGGGGTTACTGTGAAGGGGAGGGGTTACTGGAGCTGAGTCAGGAACAGGAAAGGATACTCCACAAACTCCACAGGAGACTTGGTCAACTGCTCCAGCGCTTTCGTCTCCACGAAGGATGACATCTGATACGCCTTGTTGTGCTCTGTAACCAAACATATGCTCCCCGTGAGACCCCCCCCCTCACACAGCACCCCAACCCCTCACACAGCACCCCCACCCCTCACACAGCACCCCCACCCCTCACACAGCCCCCTCACACAGCACCCCCACCCCTCACACAGCCCCCTCACACAGCACCCCCACCCCTCACACAGCCCCCTCACACAGCACCCCCACCCCTCACACAGCACCCTCACACAGCATCCCCACCCCTGACACAGCACCCCCACCCCTCACACAGCACCCTCACACAGCACCCCCACCCCTCACACAGCACCCCCACCGCTCACACAGCCCCATCACACAGCACCCCCACCCCTCACACAGCCCCCTCACACAGCATCCCCACCCCTCACACAGCCCCCTCAGACAGCCTCCCAACCCCTGACACAGACCACCCCCCAATCCCTCACACAGATCCCTCAACCCTCACACAGACCCCCCCATCCCTCACACAGCCCCCTCACACAGCACCCCCAACCCCTCACACAGCCCCCTCACGCAGCCCCGCCACCCCTCACACAGCACCCTCACACAGCACCCCACCCCTCACACAGCACCCCCACCCCTCACACAGCCCCCTCACACAGCCCCGCCACCCCTCACACAGCCCCCTCATACAGCCCCCTCACACAGCCCCGCCACCCTCACACAGCCCCCTCACACAGCACCCCCACCCCACACAGCCCCCCCTCACAGCACCCCCACCCCTCACACACCCCCCTCACACAGCACCCCAACCCCTCACACAGCCCCGCCACCCCTCAGACAGCCCTCCCAACCCCTGACACAGACCCCCCATCCCTCACACAGCCCACTCACATAGCACCCCCAGCCCTCACACAGCCCCTCACACACAGCACCCCCACCCCTCACACAGCCCCCTCACACAGCACCCCCCGAATCCCTCACACACATCCCTCGCCCCTCACACAGCCCCCCCACATCACACAGCCCCTTACACAGCCCCCCCCAAACCCCTCACACAGCCCCCCTTACCCAGCAACTCCCCGACAGTTACCCTCAGTTACAGTGTGGTTTTAGTGTGTGTGTACAGTGTTTGTGTATGTGTATACACAGTATTTTTTGTGTGTGTGCGCACATTGTGTACACTCACACACAAACACGTGTGCCAACTACCAACCCTGGCCAGGAGGACGATCATTGTGCTTAGTGGGGTCTCCTCAGAGCTGAAGTGACCCCAAGGAATGTCAGAATCGAGCCAGGCCTCTGTGACGGTCTCTAGTCCGGTTCCTGAGCCAGGAGGGTCCGCAGTATTCCAGGGCGCTGCTGATGACAGCACAGCACAGCCTGGATCATCGCAGAACCTGGAAGCCAGATCAGTTACTGGGGGCAGGGGGTCATCCCACTGAGTGCCTGTTAAGCCTACAAGCCAAAGCCCTAACGGGTAGGGTGGTCCTAGCTGGACAAGCAGCAGGAAAGCTTGCCAGCAGCAATATCAATGACAAGCTATGCGGTTTTGCTGGTTAGACTCCAGCAGTTACCTCAACGTACACTCTGGCCAGGAGAGCACTCACTATGTTGAGTGACCCAGCAAAAGCCACTTACTCTTTGCAGCCTCGAAGGACTCGAACTTCACAGGTTGGATGTAATTAACCAGGTTAGACATTTCCTCAGTGGCACTCGCTTCACAGCCTGCTGTTCCCTGTGATTAAATCAGTCATGTTACATACTCCCAGCCTCCACCTCCCAGCCCCCAACACCCACTCGAGTCTCCCCCATCCAGTCCCCGCAACCCAGCCTCCCTGGATCACACACAGATCCTCCTCTTCCCCCCACACGCAAACACAGACACCCCGCTACATACACAAAGACACCAATCACAACCAAGTGTAATTAGAAACAGGAGTAGGCTATTCAGCCCTTCAAGCCTGTTCTGCCATTCTATAAGGATCATGGCTGATCTGTACCTCAACTCCAATTACCTGCCCTTACCCAGCTTCCCTGACCTAACAAATATCTATCCACCTCAGTCTTGAAGATATCCAGCATCTTTCTTGTGTGAGAAAGAGTTCCAGATTTCCACTCAGGAGGGTGAAAAACTGCCTCCTGATTTCACTCCTAAATGGCCTGGATCTAATTTTAAGATGATGACCCTTGTTCTGGATTCCCCACCAGAGGAAATAGTTTCTCTGTAGTTACTCTATCGAATCCCTTTATTATTTTAAAAATCTCAATTGGATAACCCCCAAACCTTCTAAACTCAAGGGAATAGAGACCAGAATTTATGCAACCTGTCCTTGTAATTTAAGCCTTTAAGCCTCTATATTTTTAAGTGAAATTACCTCATCCATTGAAGACTTTTTAGAATCCTCATCCTCATCCTCGTCATCATCACTTTCTGCATCCGGATCTCCTGGAGAGAGGGAATGTGAGAGGTGTTTAGAGACCAGTGGTTTACAGCTGTCACCATGTCAGCTTCAAACACAATTCCATTTCGTGCTGAGTGACCGGAACATCCCAACGTCACGTGCCTGGTTTCAGATGAAAAAGACCCTTCTGGCCACAAATCCCCCACCCCATAAACACACACTTCCCTGTCACAATCCCGTTCTGGTCAGGCTCCACTGGCTCCCCATCACCAAATGAATCAACTTCAAGATCCTTACACTCGTGTTCAAATCCATTCACTACCTCTCCAACCTCCTCACTCCCCAATCCAGCATCCGGCGCCTACGCTCAACTGGCACCGGCCTCCTGCTCGTCCATCGCAACCTCCACCCCACCATCGGAGGTTGCGCTTTCAGCCACTGAAACTCTGGAACACTCTCCCTCAATCCCTCCGCCTTGCCCCTTCTCTCCCCTTTTTCAATTCCCGCCTGAAAATCTTCCTCTTCGACCATGCTTAAGGCCACACCTGCTCTGCCACTGTTAACTGTTAACTGTTCTGAGATGTTTGCCTGCGTGGAGGGCACTATATAAGTGCAAGTCGTTGTTGTAGTTACTGAGAGATACATCTTGGCGTCTCTACTGAAATTGCCCTTTACATGTCTAACTAAACCTGTGTGCTCTTGTTCCCTGTTTCAGTGAATCCAAAAGTAATGATCTGTGTTTACTTTCTCAATCCTGTTTATACACCTCTATAAGGTTCCCTCTTGATACTCTGGACCCAGCTTACATTTCCTATAAAAATAGCACAAAAATTTATTTATAAAAATAAATATTTCACCTACAAAATATACAGTCAATTCACTTTACAATATATATATTAATGTCCACCTGAATAGAGCTTGAAGGAGAGGCAACAAGGAGAGGTGCAGTCCTATCCTTGTTATCTGCAAAGTTAATCGACTGTATATTTTGTGGGCGAAACACAGCAGCCAATTGTGCACAGCAGTGTCCCACAAACAGTTGTGGATTGGGCGACCAAATTATTATTTTTTTAAAAATTGTCTAACAACTGGATTCCTATTTCGGACTCCAAAAAGAGGCCTGGATACAGAGAGGAGATCATGGTGACTGTTGAATGAAGTTCAGAAAGTCACATGATGCAGGATTGGGGCTAGGGTGCCTTATGAAGAGTAGCTGGCGTTTCAGATTTATTGTGTCTGTGTTATTATTAAGTGGTCCTAGCTGGACAAGCAGTGGGAAGCTTGCTGGACAGCAATATCAATGGCAAACTATGTGGTTTTAGCTGGTTAGACTCCAGCAGTTACCCCAATGCACACTCTGGGGTCCCCAAGCCTTGGCTCTTGCTAACCTGCGCCTAATACTTTCCAGACTTAGGTAAACAGGATGTGTCCCTCCAGGGAGAGAGTGAACATTCCATTCCAACAATCTCTCTCTGGGATTTCCATGTGTAGGAGGGATACTTGGAAACCTCAGAAGACACTGGGAACACGCAGCATCCATGGAGAGAGGAAAATTAGTTAATGTTTCAGGTCTATGACTTTTATTTGAGTTCTGACAAACTCATTATTACTTTGCGGATTTATGCTACTTATAATATAGCCTTGTCAATGGGAGGACGGGAGGGGGGAGGGGTGGCCTGACAGACTGAGAGCAGATGGGCTGAAGGGTTCTTTATCCGCACCACTCATGTGATCTTATGTGTGATCTCATCCCACCTTCCAGCAGCAGGGAAACACTTCATATTTCAAAAGAGTAGCCAAAGCTCTGACCTATGGATTTTCTCCCAGGAGCTTTCTGCTCGGCTGTCTCCTTTCCTGACTCAGCAGGGGTCTGGCTGATGTCTGGCATCTCTGGGTTGGTGGAGGCTGTTGGACAGACACAGAGAAACAGCTGAAAAGCATATGCTGTGACGTGGTGGGTAAATGAGCTGAGGAGCAGACTGAGATGCACTGTGTGACTGACATGCCCACCGTGGTTGTACTGTGATTCTGCCTCTTGTCACCCACCACCAACCCCTCTCCGTCCCCTTCACCCGCCCCATCATCAGCTCCTACCACGACCCCATCCTACATTCCTTCCTCCCCATCTCTCCCTCCTCCCTCTCACACACCATCACCTCAATGAAACCCACCACTTGCTGCATCGACCCCCTCTCCACCAATTTGCTGGTCACCCAGCTACCCTTCCTCTGCCCACTACTGGCTGACGTCATCAGCCAGTCCCTCTCCTCTGAATCAGTCCCTGCCCCCCTCAAAACTGCTGTCATCACCCCCTCCTGAAAAAACCCTCCCTAGATCCCTCACCCCCAGCCACTACCGCCCTATTTCTAACCTGCCCTTCCTCGCAAAAGTCCTGGAACACGTTTGTTGCCAATCAACTTTGCACACACCTTTCCTCCCACTCTCTCTTCGAACCCCTCAAGTCCGGTTTCCACTCTTCCCACAGTACAGAGACAGTCACAAACAACATCCTCTCTATCTGTGACCAGAGCTCCCTCTGCCTCCTTGTCCTCCTGGACCTCTCCGCCACGTTCGACACAGTCGATCACGCCATCCTCCTCCTCCACCGCCTTTCCTCCGTCATCCACCTCAGTGGAACCGCACTCGTCTGGTTCGAATCCTACCTCACGAACCGCCAGCAGTACATCTGCACAAACGGCTTCTCCTCCCGCTCTCACCCAGTCACCTGCGGGGTACCCCAAGGATCCATCCTTGGCCCCCTCCTCTTTCTGATCTACATGCTCCCTCTTGAGGATGTCATCCGCAGACATGGGGTACATTTCCACATGTATGCGGACAACACCCAACTCTATTTCTCCACCTCACTTTGCGAACCCAGTCCCTGATGTTCTGTCAGCCTGCCTGTCAGATCTCAGGGGCTGGATGAGCGTGCATTTCCTTCAGCTGAACGTTGACAAGACGGAAGTCATACTCTTAAATCAACATCTTAAATCTCATGGTTCTCACCTCCTCCACCTACCCGACCTCCCCCTAAAACTCTCCAAATCCCATATGCAACCTAGGCGTCAGGTTCGACCCCCAATTATCCTTCCTCCCCCACATCCGGTCCCTCACCAGCACCGTTTTCTTCCTCCTCCGAAGCATCGCCTGTCTCCGCCAACACCTCACCCCAAAAGCTGCTGAAACCCTGGTCCATGTCACCTCTCGGCTGGACTATTCAAACGTCCTCCTCGCTGGTCTCCCCTCCACTACCATCTATAAAATCCAGGTCATCCAGAACTCTGCCACCCGCATTCTCACCCGTACCAAACTCCACTCCCCGATTACCCCAGTCCTTGCCAGACTGCACTGGCTGCCTGTCCCAGAGAGAATCGACTTCAAGATCCTCACCCTTGTCTTCAAATCCCTCCACTCCTCTGCGCCCTCCTATCTCATTGACCTCCTCTCTCCTCACAACAGTGCCCATTGCCTTCGCTCCACCGGGTCTGGCTTCCTCCTTGTCCCTCGAATCCTCCGCTCCACCATCGGCGGCCGATCCTTTAGCCATTACACCCTGAGGGTCTGGAACTCCCTTCCTCACTCCCTTCGCCTCGCCCCCTCCCTTTCTATTTTCAGGTCTCGGCTGAAGATCTTTCTTTTCGACCACGCCTTTGGTCACCTTCTTCCCCCTCCCCCTGGCTCAGCCCCAGGATCCGTTAGTGTAAAGCGCTCTGAGACGCCATCTGGCGTGGAGGGCGCTATATAAATTCAAGCTGTTGCTGTTGTTGTTGTTGTTGTACACCCAACCTAATGGTATTGTACATGACACGTGTAACAGCCAGATTGAGTCTTAATCAGAAATAATAATTGCATTTGATACAGTGCATAACAACAACCAATTTATAATAATAATAATCCTTGCATTTGATGGAGCCTTATCATGTCTTTTTTTGTACTCTATGACGCCAATGTTTACCTAGCAGTTAGTAGGAACCCAGTTGTTACTCGATTGGTGGATCGCTTTTCTGGGGGCAATTACCCCTTCAAAAACAAAAATAATAATAATCTGGTCACTCAATCCACGACTGTTTGTGGGACACTGCTGTGTGCAATTGGCTGCCATGATTCCCCCACAAAATATACAGTCAATTTACTTTACAGTATATTCTGTGAAGCGCTACAAGCTGCTCAATTATTATTATTATTATTCTTGTTGTTATTCTTGTTATTCTTCTTATTATTGTTATATTATTATTTTTATTATTATTGCTTTACATTAGAATCCTGTAAAGAGCTTTGAGACATCTTGACATGAAAGGCTCTGTATCAAATACAAAGATTATTTTGATTATTATTGTTTGACAGGGAGCTTTGTTAGTAGAGCTGCATCACTACAGACTAACCACGAGATGGAGTTACAGGCTAATCAACCCAGCAGAACATTGTAACGGGATCTGTGTGAGGTGTCTGTGACTCTTGCTGAATAACAACAACAACAAGATTACAATTGTATAGCGTCTTTCACGTCGGAAAGATGTCCCAAGGCTCTAATCACATCGCTGAATCCCTCTCAAAGACATGTATATGGAAGTTGGTGAAAGGGTAATAGCAGGTAACAAATAATAATATGACCCGCGTTGCTCACACACGTCTCTCTCTCCTTATCCCTCTGTATTCAGATGTATGTATTCCATGTAAAATGCTTTGATGCTTCTTGCTCGCTTTCTTCCCATTCTATGTGGGGGAGAGATTTTCTGTCTTGTCTGTGAGTCAGTCACTCGATGTGCCAGGCTGACAGATGATTCTTATAAAGCTTTTGGATCTGACAGTGCATAACAAATGTCACCCCGTAGTCATACCACTGTCATTTCACAACATGTCATTTCACCTTTCGGTCCATCTGATCTCCTCCCTCCCCAACACCCACCCTACCATCCCCGCAACACAGCATCCAGCTGCTTTTTAAATGAGTCCCAGTGTCCTGGCCTAACCCCTCCCTTCCTGGTAACCTGTTCCAGTCATTAATTACGCTCTGGGTAAAGAAACACTTCCTGGTGTCTGTACTGAAATTGCCCCTTTACAGCTCTAACCCTGTGTCCTCTTGTTCTACTGTCTCGATGCATCTGAAAGTAATGATCTGGGTTTTATTTTCAATCTAATTTAAAATGTTACAACTTCTACGAGGCCCTGACTGAGTCGTCTTCTCTCAAGACTGAAGAGCCCGAGCTTGTCTAATCGTCGCTCACAGCTCATTCCTCTCACACTGGGAACCATCCTTGTTGCTCCTCTGCACTGTCTCTAGGCCCTGGGAGTCCCTTATGTCGCAGTGACCAGACCAGAGCTGCCTGCAGTGTTCCAGGTGCTGTTCAGCGCCTTAGAACATCCTCCCACCATGAAAGGTGTTTTACAAATGTAATTTTGTTGTTGTTGTCCCAGTACATTACAGACCCCTGAAGCCTATCCCTATGGTGATCTGGCTCCCCTAACAATACCCTCTGCTTCCTTCCCTTCAGCCAATTCTGAATCCACAGCCATGTCTTGTCCTTCAGATCCATTGACCACTGTTTATGGAGGAATCTTTCATGTTGTACTTTGTCAAACGTCTTTTGGACATTAAACACCGTGGGACATGTTGGTAAACAGAAGGGAGTTTTCCCAGGAAATATTGATCATTCACTACATAGAGGTTGTGAGGCATTACTGCTGTTTGAAATTTTTTTGGTCTTTGTATTGCTGTATTGGTCTACAATCAAGCTATTACAAATGCAAGTAGCATCATCACGTAGTAATAGTAATAATAATCCTTGCATTTGATACAGTGCTTTATCACGTCTTCGAGACATCTCAAAGCGCTTCACAGAATATAATGTAAAGTGAATTGGCTGTAAATGTTGTGGGCAAAACACGGCAGCCAATTGTGCACAGCAGTGTCCCACAAACAATTGCGGATTGAGTGACCAAATTATTTATTGACTGATTTATTTTGAAGGGATTATTACTCCTGGAAAAGCGATCCACCAATCGACTAAAAAACGGGTTCCTACTTACTGCTAGGTAAAAAGAGGTGTTGGAGTAAGGAAACGTACCCAACCTTTCACCCTGCCCAGGAATGGAACCCAGGTCCTCTCGCTTGCGAGGTGAGTGCTCTAACCACTAAGTTGCAAGACTCCACAAGTTATTAGTAGTAACAGTATCTATTGCACACACACCAAGGTCATGTTCAGACACTGACCTGCTCCTGGGGACGAGGGCTCGAACACGCTGGAGGAGTCACTGTAGGTGTTGGACGCCTGTTCTGACAGCTTCTTTTTGCTCCCATCAGACGACTTGTGTCCTTTCTTCTTATTCTTAATGAGGATTTTACCGATTAGATCCTGGGGACTGGGAAGCGCCACGCCTGGCTCCAGCTGGAACATAAAGCAAAGGTACAATCATGTGACCGAGGACCGTGGCGACTGAACCCTACGCCCAGAACTGATCTGACCATCTCTGACCATTGTCCTCTCACCCACAACAATAATAATATTGCATTTGATATAGATTGATATTTTGGTAACTCACACGCACGGCCTCCAGTCATTGAGGGCAAGAGAGGACACAGAACAGAAGGAAAGTGGTGCTGGTGAATGGAAAAGGAGGAAACGGCCCGAGGGACAGGGTTGTGGTGATCAGCCGGGGGCAGCACAAGGTGGGAGATGAACCTGCCTCGGCTCAGAAATGTACAGTGGCCACTTGAGCGTGGCTGTGTGAGACTGGATTAATGTTGAGTGTTCAAGCCTCTGCTGTGAGCTGGGATGCAAATGGGGACAGTGACAGATGTTATGCTGAAGTCAAGTGGAGCCAAGAAATGGGTGTGAGGCCAGGCGGGTAATGTAAATGGCTCTCGACCATGTTCGTGGCAGCTGCTTGAGGAGAAACAAAAGAAACCAAAAAGGGAGGCAGCTGGGAGGCAGCAATATAATAATAATCCTTGCATTTGATACAGTGCCTTATCACATTGTTGAGACGTTCTCAGAGCGCTTCATAGAATATACTGTAAAGTGAATGGACTGTATATTTTGTCACAGCAGTGTCCCACAAACAGTCGTGGATTGAGTGACCAAATGATTATCATTTTTTTTGAATCAATTATTACCACCAAAAAAAGAAATCTGACAATTAACTAACAACCAGGTTCCTTCTTACTGCTAGGCAAACAGAGGAGTGTGGCATAAGGAAACGTTTCGCCCTGCCTGGGAATTGAACCCAGGTCTCTCACTTACGAGGCAAGTGCTCTAACCACTAAGCTACATAAACCTGATTTCAAGTGGACAAAGAGAAGCTAGTGAACCTGCTGATTTGGCTGTCGGCCTTTTTTTTAGAAAATTCATTGGGTTTCCTCGGAGTTGTCTTAGCCTGGCTCAGTCACTGTGTATGTCAGCCTGGCTCAGTCACTGTGTGTGTCAGCCTGGCTCAGTCAGTGTGTGTGTATGTGTGTGTCAGCCTGGCTCAGTCACTGGGTGTGTGTCAGCCTAGCTCAGTCATGAGTTGTGTGTAAGCCTGACTCAGTCACTGTGTGTTTGTCAGCCAGGCTCAGTCACTGTGTGTGTGTGTGTCAACCTGGCTCGGTCGCTTGCACTCTTGACAGCGAGTCAGAAGAATGTGAGTTCAAGCCCCCACATCGGTGACTTGAAACCCATGGAGTCTCAGCTGACACTCAGGGTGCAGTGCTGAGGGGAGCACTGCATTGCTGGAGGTGCCATCCTCTGAATGAGACATTAAACTGAGGTTCTGTCTGCCTTTTAACCACCGAGTGCTCTAACCACTGAGCTAAAGGACTACTGGGCAAGAGGCTGGTGCAGCCACCCTGGGTGGCCACGAGGCCGCCAATGCATGTGTGTTCAGATAGCAAAGGGCACAAGAGGCTGGTAAGAAAGAGCGTCACTCACTCACCGGGTATTTCTCCAACTCATCCATCACCAGCCTGTCGCCAAAGATTGCCCGGCAATACTCCGCCATCTTCGCCTGTTGTTTAGGACTAAAGGGACAAAACCAGATCGAACAATTACACAAACAACATGCTCAGTCACAACATTTTTTTTTCGTCAAGCTGTGAATAATAATAATAAAACCTGGGGCTTCAATTATCCTTCAATTGTCAAACACAGATTCGTTTTCTTTTAGAAAATAACATTATGGGGTATAGCATATACGTAGTTTGTGCATGCGACTGCCAGGAAGGTGGAAGGCGAACCAGATGGACCTTGGTCTTTCTTCGTCCAGCATTTCTTATGTCCTTATGTTCTAATCCTTGATTTGATATAAAGCCTTATCACAACTTCAAGACTTCTCAAAGCACTTCACAGAATATACTGTATAGTGAATTGTAAATTCTGTGGGCGAAATGCGGGTGCCAATCGCATACAGCCCTGTCCCACAAACAGTTGTGGATTGAGTGACCAAATTATTACTTTTTTTAAGCAATTATAACCCCCGGAAAATAATCCGCTAATCGTTTAACATTACTTGTTACTTATTGCTAGGTAAACAGAGGCGTGTGGAGTAAGGAAACTTGCCCAACGTTTTGCCCTGCCCGGGAATCAAACCCAGGTCCTCTCGCTTGTGAGACGAGTGTTCTAATCTAAAGGACTTCATATGTTTATCTAGAGTTGAAATTGGTGAGGAAGTCTTTCTGGGGTGAGGGATCTCCCATGCCTTCAACCACCCTCCTACCCCTACCCTCCCTGGCCTCCATCCCTCCTTGTCCCAATCCCCTGCTCTGGTCCAAATCCCTGACTGTCCAGCGCCTTGGGAGATCCTCCCAACGTGAAAGGCGCTGTATAAAGGAATTGTTTTAGGGATGTAGATGTCTCTCTGGGGTGAGGGATGGTGAGGACTCTGGGAGGTCAGCAAAATTCCTGTTTCATACTTCAGGAAGTTTTAAATTTGAATCTGCTCATTTACAACAACAACAAATTCCATTTATACAGCGTCCTTCACATGGGGTAGCGTCCTAGAGTGCTTGACAGTGACGGAGTCTGACACTGAGCCAGGGGGAGAGGGAGGGGGGAGGTGACCGCAAGCATGATCAAAAAGGTCTTTAGGTGGGATTTGAAGGTGGGGAGGGAGGGGGCAAGGCGGAGGGATTGAGGAACAGGAGTGGGGGGGTAAGCAGATCAGATAGATAGGGAGGTGCGGGGGCATGAAGGGATTTGAAAACGAGTGAAAGATTCTTGAAATCGATCATTCGGTGATTGGGAGCCAGTGGAGCCATGAAACAAGGAAGATAGATTGCAGAAACACATTACAGTCACCATCACAGAAGGAAGAACTGAGTTCCTCAACCGTAGGGCACATATATCACAGGCTTACAACACAGCCTCAGCTAATATTGCAATTGGATAAAAACACTATCCAAACAGCAGCTAGATACAGTCCCTGGTAATGAGCAGCTGATAACCCAAGCTAGCGATCTCTCTGTCTGTCAGAGCAGAGAAAGCCGACTGACTCCCAGTTGTAGTTTTATATTGATTTAAACACCAGCAGCCTTTGGTGTGAATCTACATTTAGGCTTTGTAGCATATTTATTACCTCACTGACATTCAATTACCAGAATATAATTTTTACCCATTAAAAATGCCTCGTAAAGCAACGGGTTAAATCTGTGCCAAGCCTCGATGTCATTTCATAGAAACATAGGAGTAGGAGGAGGCCATTCAGCCCTTCGAGCCTGTTCTGACATTTTATAAGATCATGGCTGATCTGCACCTCGACTTCAATTACCTATCTTGCCCCATATCCCTTGATATCCTGACCTAACAAATATCTATCCACCTCAGGCTTGAAGACATGAATGGATCCAGAAACCACAGCCTTTTGGGGAGAGAGGAAGGTGTGACATGTACCAGGACAGCGACATGTGCTGGGGACATCCACACACATCATGGTAGTAATGTGATAATAATAATATAATAATAATCCTTGCAATTGATATAGTGCCTTATCACATCTTCAAGATTTCTCAAAGCAGTTCACAGAATATATTGTAAAGTGAATTGACTATATTTTGTGGATGAATAATTATCAAACCTTCATCAACAGTTTTGGGGATAAACTCCCTCCACACGCACCTACTCACAACATTTTTTTTGCCCAGCTGGGTGTCTGACACCTGAAGAAACCTATCACCGTGCTTGAGAGTCTCCAAACCAAGCTGAGAATTCCCTGCATCCCACCTACACATGGAAATCCCAGAGAGAGATTGTTGGAATGGAATGCGCATTCTCTCCCTGGAGGGACACATCCTGTTTACCTAATTCCGGAAAGTATTAGGCACAGGTTGCGTAACTATCAGAGTGTGTGTTGGGGTAACTGCTGGAGCCTAACCAGCTAAAACCGCATAGCTCATTGGCCACAGTTTGTCCAGCTAGGACCACCCTCCCTGTTAGGACTTTGGTTTGCAGGGTTAACAAGAGCTGAGTGGGATGATTCCCTGCCCCCAGTGACTGGTCTGCCCTTCCAGGTCCTGTTGATTAGCCGGGCCGGGCTGTGCTGTCATCAGCAGTGCCCTGGAATACTGAGGACCCTCCTGGCTCAGGAACCGGACTAGAGACCGTCACAGAGGGCTGGCTCGATTCTGACATTCCATTGCCAGGCACGTCACCTTGGAGCCAGTTTAGATCCAAGGAGACCCATTTGTGGGACACTGCTGTGTGCAACTGGCTGCCATGCTTCGCTCACAATATACAGTTTACAGTACATTCTGTGACGCGCTTTGAGACATCTCAAAGACATGATTAAGGCGCCATATCAAATGCAAGGATTATTATTATTATTAATTCCGGATGGATTATTATCACACAACCTTCCCAATAACAAACTAGGAGCACGTGCTGACATACACCGGGGCGGCACTGGAATTCTACCTAGTCTTAGCCTGCCAGCCCATTTAGCATTAAAAGTATCACCATCCTCCATGATTACAGACCAAGTTTTCTGGATGGAAAAGTTCCAAACCATTTTGGTTGCTCGAGTACAAACAACAACAACTTGCATTTATATAGCCACACTCACGCAGGATAGCATCCCAGAGCACTTGACAGAGGCAAAGCACAATGCCGAGCCGGTGGGAGGTGACTGTAGGCACGGTCAAAGAGGAAGGTCTTCAGGCCTGTCCTGAAGGTGGGAAAGGAGGTAGTAAGGTAGAGGGATAGAGGGAGAGGGTTCCAGAGTTTCGGGGCGAGGTGGCTGAAAGTTCGGCCACCAGTGGTGGAATGGAGGGTACGAGGGACAAGTAAGAGGCCATAGACAGTCGAGTGGAGACAGCGGATAGTGGGTAGTGAGCCATAGGGACACGTGTGGATTTTCTTTGTGATTATTTTTGTTTCTTTGTTCCTCTCCTCTCGGTCTCTCGCTCAATCAGTACGGTCCCAATAATTTAACAACCCTGTAAACAGTGTGTGTGTGTGAGGGGGGGGGGATAATTACCGCACTTCACCCCAACTTAAAATCTCTGAATCAAATACTTACGAATCCACATGGTTTTCAAATGAAAGTGTCACAGGGTAAGGTGATGTCTTAAACGCAGTCTCTGCTATCGCCTCAATCACTTCCTGCCAAGGTAGAAAATAGCAACGATTTAACAACTATCTTTATTCTAACTCAGCTTGGTCCATGCCCACCCATTGTCCCTTTGTTAAATGCTCTGGAGGCCATTTAACCAGCTTTCCCACCATTGGGCATCACCAAAGACACAACCAGTACTGCTCCTTAGTCAATCCATCAGGGTCATAGTTATTGGCTTCAGGATCTGTCCATTCTCCTTCCTCTGACGACAATCACTCCAGACAATATGATGCCCATGTCTGGCTGGCAGCCAAGAGGGGCAACTTCCAGTCACCCCAATCATCCCAATCGCCCCTGTTACCCCCGATCACCTCTGTCACCCCCAAATCATCAGCCCATTCACTGATTCCATTGGAATTATAATAATTATAATAATAATAATAATTCCAGCATCCGTAATGTTTTCAATAAAACATACACACATATACGCATACCATCAGACACATGCAGACACACACACAAACACACATGCACAAACGCGCACACAGGCCAAACACACACAAAAACAGCACCACCATTCTTGTGATGAGGAAACCATTCCTCTCTCTGTCAATCAGTGAATTCACGTTGACAGCAACTCAAACCTTCACAGTTACCTCCCCACCACCCACCCGGCGGAGAGGTTACCTTGAAGGAGATCTCAGTGGTCATGGTAAAGCCATGTGTGATGACAGGCTCCTCCTCTGCAGTGCGGCCCTTCCAGCAGTCCAGCTCCACACAACGGCAGCCCGACAGTAGCACCTGCCGGTAGATCTCCACCGAGGACTGGCCAGCCAGCTGGCCCGCTGCATGCACAGGGCAAAAGGGAGGAGTTCAACTGGTGCGCAACCCTGCAAGCCAAAGCCCTAATGGGTAGGGTGGTCCTAGCTGGACAAGCAGCGGGAAAGCTTGTAAGAATGAGATGAGAACCAATGAGAACGACAATGGGAGGGAGGAAGCGCCGCCTCTCCTCTGCTGGGCAGGAAGAAAATTTTAGTTATCCTCGGTTAACCTCGGACGCCACTTAAGCCGGACAAAACGCTGGCCCCTGTGTGTCCGTCTTAAGAAAATTTCACTGTATAAAAACAATACAATAATTAATTTGATACAGTGCCTTAATCACGTCATTCGAGTCATCTCAAAGTGCTTCACAGGATTTACTGTAAATGCGGTGACTGTGTTTTTATGAGTAATCATGGCAGCCAATTTGCATACAGCAATGTCCAACAAACAATCATGGAGTGATTGACTAATTTTATCTGGGGGATTGTCGGCCAGGACGTCAGGAGAGAAAGGGAACCCCTTCTCTCTCCCAATAGCGCTATGGGATCATATCTATGCCACCTACATATAGAAATTCCAATGTATTACAATGGAATGCGCACTATCTCCCTGGAGGGACACATTCTGCTACCTAATGTGGAGCATATTAGGCATAGGTTAGTGAGAGCCAAGGTTTGGGGAGACGGACCCCAGTATGCGTGTTTCAGCGCCTTGTAACGTTCTCTTGATGTGAAAGGTGCCACATAAAGGCAATTTGTTGTTGTTGTTGTGGTGATAACTGGTGGATCCTAACCAGCTGAAACAGCAGTGAAATTCACCACAAATACTCAATTAATACTACATTGGGATTGCTCAAAACAACACACAAATAACATTTAGAATCTGAGTTTGAGGTATTTATAGAAGCGTGAACACAGCTCTGTCTCGGTAACAAACTGGTTGCCATGGAGATCCTTTTCAACATAGCTTCTGTCTGCGTGTTCAACAACCATGCTAACAGCTTCCAATGAAAAAGTGAAAGCTGCTGTGTGTGCGCTCAGCAGCCCCAGCTTCGGACTTGACTGTTTTCTAAACTTCTGCGGTTTTAGCTGGTTAATGATAACCATCCTCACACTAGAAGCAGCACCTTATCAAGTAGTGCTGGAGTCCTGCAGCTCAGTGGTTAGAGCACTTGCCTCACAAGGAAAAGGACTTGAGTTTGATTCATGGGAAGGGTAAAACGTTGGGCAAGTTTCCTCACTCTACAAGTCTCTGCTTACCTAGGAGTAAGTAGGGATCTGGTTGTTAGTAGATTTGCGGATCGCTTTTCCCGTGGTAATAATCCCTTCAAAATAAATAAAAATAATGTAGTCACTCAATCCACGACTGTTAGTGGGACACTCCTGTACACAATTGGCTGCCGTGTTTCGCCCACAAAATATACAGTCAACTCACTTCACAGTATATTCTGTGAAGCACTTTGAGACGTCTCAAAGATGTGATAAAGCGCTAAAATAAATACCAGGATTATTATATATATATAAGTAGGGAGGACGCCTCAAACATCAATACATTTTGTAGGTGAACATGGCAGCTAATTTGCACACAGTAACACTCCACAAACAGCCATGGAGAGAGTGACCAATTTTATTTGGGGGTTTGTTGGCCAGGACACTGAAAGAGAGAGAATGACTACTTTCAGATAGCGCTGTGGGATTTTTAATGTCCACCTGAACAGGCACAAACGAGACCTCGGTTTAATTAAGCATTTCCCCCAGCTCTGCACAGCCTTGTCAGCCTGGAGTATGAGCTGCAAATCTCTAATGTGGGGGGTTTGAATCCACAAGCTTCTGACCCTGGTTCGACTCCAGCAGTTACCCCAATGCTCTCCAGGTTCCCCAAGCATTGGCTCTCACCAACCACAGTGGCCAGCTTGCCTCTCCGGGCTACACGCTTCTGATCTAGAAGATGTGAACAGGCGCTATATCAAATAAAGGATTATTATTATATTATTGTCACAGGCTCCTTGGACAGTCAATGCCATGTGGACAATCTTCCTCTGGTACTTAAATTCCACCTACTTTCAACCTTTTCACATTTTGTCTTAACCTTAAAGATAATTAATTCTCCTGCAAGATACATAGTCAGTACACTTTACAGCAAATTATGTGAAACGGTTTGAGACATCCCCCTGATGTGAAAGACTGTGTCAAATGCAACAATTATATGATTATTAATGAAGTGTAGTGATTGTGTATTATGTAGTTGAACACGACAGCCAATTTGTGTCCAGCAATAATAATCATAATGTATAAGAATAATCCTTGCCTTACATATCTGGAGACGTCTCAAAACTTGACAAGGTTCAATGTGAAGAGCAGTGACTATGTGACTTGCTGGTGAATTATTATTATTATCTTAACAACGTGTTAAATTGCCATTGGAACTGGCTGGCTTTCTGAGTACGTGTGCAGTGAATGTCCAATGCTGCACCCCATTAACGCCCTGGTCCGAATAACTGCGTTACAACAACAACAAAATTACATTTATATACAGCCTTTCACATTAGGACTAAGTTCCAAGGTGCTGGACAGTCAGTGTTTCAGACCTGAGCTGGGGATTGGGATTGGGGAGGGTGGAGGGCAGGGGAGGGAGCAGGGTGATTGAAAGCATGGTCGAAGAGGAGGGTCTTGAGATGGGTCTTGAAGCAGGTAAGGGTGGGGGCGAAGTGGAGGGATTATGGGATGGAGTTTCAGAGGGTGGGGGCAGAGTGACAGAAGACTTCCCGCCAATGGTAGGGCAGGCAAGGTGGGGGACGTGAAGCAGGCCAGAGCCCACTAAGCGGAGGGTGCGGGCAGGTTGGTAGGTATTTAGGAGATCGCAGAGGTATGGGGGAGCAAGATCATGGAGGGCTTTGAAGAAGAGGACCAGGATCTTGAACTGTATCCTCTATGTGATGGGAAGCCAGTGGAGTCGGACGAAGATGGTGGTGATAGGGTCATGGCGCTTGGTGCGGGAGACGACACGGGCTGCAGAGTTCTGGATGATGTGCAGCCTATGGAGGGAAGATCTGGGGAGGCCAACAAGCAAGGAGTTAGCGTAATCAAGCTTGGATGTTATGAATGCGAGTATGAGGGTTTCAGTGGCCTGTGGTGTGAGATAGTGGCAGAGCTGGGCGATGTTGCGGAGGTGGGGAAAGGCAGAGCGGGTCATGGCACGGATGTGGGGTAGAAAGGATAGTTGAGGGTCAAACAAGACGTCAGGGTTCCGGCTTGACTTAGCAAGGTGAAGTGTGCATCCATGGATGGTGATGCTATCAGTGCCTGAGGTGTGAAGGTGCTGACGGGAGCCAATCAGGAGAGCCTCAGTCTTGTTGATGTTCAACTGAAGAAAGTTAGCTCTCATCCAGGACTTGATGTCCGACACAATTCTGTCAGGACAGCAGTGGTCCTGGAGTCGAGGGTGGAGGCAGTGAGGTAGAGTTGGGTGTCATCCACATTTGACCCCATGTCTGTGGATGATGTCACCAAAAGGGAGCATATAGATGTTGAAGAGGAGGGGACCAAGGACAGAGCCCTGAGGAACGCCACACGAGATGGTACGGGGGCTAGAGGAAAAACTGGTTATGGAGACAAAGTGGAGACGGTGTGAGAGATACAATCTGAACCATTCAAGGACAGAACCGTGAAAGTTGAAGTGAAAGGAGAGGCAGTGGATGAGAACAGAGTGGTCCACGGTGTCAAAGGCAGCAGAGAGGTCAAGGAGGACGAAAGAGGCAGAAGGAGCCCTGGTCGCAGATGGACAGCATGTCATTTGTCACTTTGACCAGGACTATTTCTGTGCTATGGGCGGCACGGAAACCTGATTGGAGGGGTTCATGAAGGGAATGGTGGGAGTGAAGGAGCGAAGATGGGAAGCAACGACTCGTTTCAGCACCTTGGAGAGGAAAGGGAGGTTGGAGATGGGGAAGTAGTTTGAGAGCAGGAATGGGTCGAGGGAGGGTTTTTTAAGGATAGGAGTGGTACCACTTGACAGGGAGAAGTTTATGATGTTTGTGAATAGAAGGGACAAGGAGGTGTAGCTAGGAGGTAAGGAGAGGGGTAGGGATGGGGTCGAGGGAGCAGGTGGTCAGTTTTATGCGTGTTACAGTGGTGATGAGAGAGGAGTGGGAGGCAGGTTTGAAGGTGTGGAGGGAGGGATGGACAGGGGCTAGGGTGAGAGGAGGAGATGCATAGGGGGTAGTAGACAGAAGGGTAGAGGCAGCTGAGCGGATCCCCTTGACTTTGGATTCAAGGAAGTCCAGCATCATCTCCCAGTTGGCATTGGAGTTGAGGATGGACGAGGCATGAGAGGGTGGGTGGAGGAGCCGGTTGGTGTTACAGTTCAAGTCAGGCTCCACTGACTCCTTATTGATGAACAGATTGATTTCAAGATCCTTAGACTCATTTTCAAATCCCTTCATGCCCTGGTACCTCCCTACCCCTCCGACCTGCTTACTCCCCAACCCAACTCACTGTCTCTGATCAACTGGCTCTAGCCTCCTGCATGTCCCTCGTGCCCTCTGTTCCACCATCGGTGGCGCGCTTTTAGCCACTATGCCCTGAAACTCTGGAACATTCTTTCTCTATCCCTCCAGCTTGTCCCTTCCTTCCCCATCTCAGGTCGCGCCTGAAGACCTGCCTCTTCAACCGGGCCTACGATCACCTCCCCTTCCCCCCAGCTCAGTGGCGTGCTCTGTCAACATCAAGCGCTCTGGGACACTACCCTGCATGAGGGGTGCTGTGTAAATGCAAGTTGTGTTGTTGTTACAATGGGGCTCCCCTGGACTCAGCTTTGTTGTTTGGAGTCTGTCAGGAGAATCCGTCTGTTTCTTTATGGAGAGATAGGGCTCAGTAAAGCCTGCATGTTAATTACTAAATTCAGAGAGTAGATTGTGTTAAACACTTCACTGCACAGCTCGGTTGTGTTATCTAAAACAGGGTTTTGTTTAATTTCACCAGAGACTTACAGTTTGCTCACGTGAATGGTGCAGGACCTTACAGAGGTGTTTAAGATTTTAAATGGGATTGAAAAAGTAAACCCAGAGGAATACTTTAGGATGCATAATGACAATAGAACAAGAGGACATAGTTTTAGAGTTGTAAAGGGCAATTTTAACAACAACAACAATTTGCATTTATATATGGCCCCTCACGCAGGGTAGTGTCACAGAGCACTTGAGAGTGGTGGAGCACAATGCCGAGCCAGTGGAAGGTGACCTAAGGCACGGTCGAAGAGGAGGGTCTTGAGACGGGTCTTGAATGAGGCAAGAGAGGGGCGAGTCGGAGGGACTCTGGGATGGAGTTCCAGAGGGTAGGGGCAGAGAAGCTGAAGGCCCACCCACCAATGGAGTTAGGAGGTCGCAGAGGTAGGGGGGAGCAAGGTGGTGGAGGGCTTTGAAGGTGAGGACTGGGATCTTGAACTATATCTTCTGAGTGATGGGAAGCCAGTGGAGCCTGGTGAAGATGGGAGTGATCAGATCACAGAGCCTGGTGCGGGAGAGGACATGGGCTACAGAACTCTGGATGATTTACAGGTTTTGGCGGGAGGCGTTGGAAGCCAACAAGCAGGGAGTTTGCATAGTCGAGCCTGGATGTGATGAATGCGTGGATGAACGTCTCGGCAGCCTGCGGTGAGAGACAATGACAGAGACGGACAATGTTGCGGAGGTGGGGAAAAGTGGAGTGGGTCATGGCATTTATGTAGGGGATGAAGAATGGTTGAGGGTCGAACAGGATGCCAAGGTTCCGTATTGGCTCTGTGAGATGTAGAGCGCATCTATGGAGGGGATGCTGTCAGTGCCCGAAGTATGGGGGCACTGATGAGAGCCAAGCAGGAGGGCCTCGGTCTTGTTGACATTCAACTGGAAGATGTTTGCAGCTCAGAGACGCAGGGCATAAATGGATTTAAAGACGAATATGAGGATCTTGAAATCGATCCATTTGGCGATAGGGAGCCAGTAGAGCCTGCCTAGAACTGGGGTGATGGGGACAGACACCACAAAGTGTGTCTTTACCCAGAGGGTAATTAATGACTTGAACAGGTTACCTGGAAGGAGGGTTGAGGCCAGGAGGAGACTGGGACTCAAATAAAAAACAGCTGAATGCTGTGATGGGGGGATGTTGAGGAGGGCTGAGATCAGACTGTTCCTGTGATCTTGCCAAAGCTGCAGTGACCCTGTTGTGGGCTTACCTGTAAGGTAGGTGTTGTGGGAGGAGTTGATGAAATAGTGGGATAGAGGCTGCGTCATGTCTTCACTCAGATCCAGTTTCTCAGGGGCGACGACACTATTCTCATCGCCGCTCAGATATAGCTTCAGGCCATCCACTGAGATCTGCCCTGACAGGGGGGAAGCGCACACACACATATTCTGAAACCGCAAATCAGAACCAAACCCTGGATTTCAACACAGAATAGCATGTCAACATAATAATAATAATCCTTGCATTTGACATAGCGCCTTATCACATCTTCGAGACGTCTCAAAATGTTTCACAGAATCTATTGTAAAGTCAATTGACTGTATATTGTGTGGGTGAAAAGTGGCAGCCAATAGCGCACAGCAGTGTCCCAGTGCACATATGGCACCCTGGTAGTGACTAAAGTTGAGGCTAAGGTCTGACATGCAAACACCAGCCACTCTGCGGTTAATTTTATCAACCAAAGTAATTGTGGAACCATTCAGCATTACTAACATGTTCATCTAAACTTTGTGCTGCCCCCAGCTGGTCACCACAATCCTGCCCCTCAGGCCACTTCCCCCTTTGCCATCCACTGGCACCGCTTTCCATCTGTGCTGTGTCCTCTCTCGCCCTCAGTGACTGAAAGCCGCGGGTGTGTGTGTGCGTTACCAAAGGGGGAGATTAGGAAGAAGCTTTGTTGTTGAGGTGTGCAATGTCCTGCTGGGGGTGGTGGGCGAGAGGCAGGTTCCAGATTAGCTTTCAGGAGGAACAAGATAGTTTTCTAAAGAGGAAACATTTCCAGGGTTTGGGGAGAGGGGAGGAAGAGGGTTGGGCCTGAATGGATTGTTCTTTCACAGAGCAGCTCAGCCATGATGGTACGTTTTATGACAACCCCTGAATGAGGGGAGAGGGAAGAAGTGAGTCAGAGAGAATCCGGGATAGAATTATTAATGATAATCCTTGCATTTGATACAGGGTCTTGTCACTTTTTTGAGACATCTCAAAGCGCTTCACAGGATCATAGAATCATAGAATCATACAGCACAGAAAGAGGCCATTCGGCCCATCGTGTCTGCATAGGCTCCTAAAAGAGCAATCCAGCTCAATCCCACTGGCCCGCTTTGTCTCCATAGCCCTGCAATCCTGTCCTCCCTACAGGATGTACTTTAAAGTGAACTGATGTATATTTTGTGGGCAAAACGCAGCAGTGTCCCACAAACAACCATGGATTCAGTGACCAAATTTTTAAAAAATTATTTATTTATTTTGAAGGGATTATTACTCCTGGAAAAGCGATTCACCAATCGACTAACAACCAGGTTCGTACTTACTGCTAAACAGGTAAACAGAGGTGTGTGGAGTAAGGAAACTTGCCCAACGTTTCGCCCTGGCCGGGAACCGAACCCAGGTCCTTTTGCTTGTGAGGTGAGTGCTCTAACAACTGAGCTACAGAACTCTACAAATCCCTGTCAGGTTTCCCTGACTCGTAGCAGCCTTGCTGTACTACACCACACAATTCTTGCTGGTTCTACTTAATTATTTCAAGCAGCACAAGTCTATCCCTTTACAGTTGTAATGTACTCTGGGGGATGACTTAAAACGAGAGAGTGGATTGGGAATTATTGATGGACTGATGCTTCAGACTGCGATTCCGTGATGGAAAATTACTGGGAAGAGGAATATTTCCTTCAAAAACACAATGCCGTGCCGACTGCTTTGGCTCAATGCTAGATTCCACACACTGCAGATCTAACACATTTAATATGGGCAATCGATTTGTCAAGTTATTATTTCACCAGCTGCCAGGTTACCTTGTAGGCTGTTTCAGGGACGTCACTGGGTACAAATTGGCTGCCACATTCGCTTACAAAGCATGTCAGCCGTGTGTGTTAGCCTGGTTCAGGGACTGTGTGTGTTAGCCTGGTTCAGGGACTGTGTGTGTCAGCCTGGCTCAGTCACTGTGTGTGTCAACCTGGCTCAGTCACTGTGTGTGTCAGCCTGGCTCAGTCATTGTGTGTGTGTCAGCCTGGCTCAGTCACTGTGTGTGTCAGCCTGGCTCAGTCATTGTGTGTGTGTCAGGCTGACTCAATCAATCACTGTGTGTTTGTCAGCCTGGCTCAGTCACTCTGTCAGCCTGGCTCAGTAACTGTGTGTTTGTCAGCCTGGCTCAGTCACTGTGTGTGTCAGCCTGGCTCAGTCATTGTATGTGTCAGACTGGTTCAGTCATTGTATGTGTCAGCCTGATACAGTGACTGAACCAAGGCTGACACAGACAGTGACTGAACCAGACTGACACGCACACAGTGACTGAGCCAGGCTGACACAGAGTGACTGAGCCAGGCTAGCACACAAAGTGACTGAACCAGGCCGACACACACACACAATGACTGAGCCAGGCTGACAAACACAGTGACTTAGCCAGGCGGACACAGATGGTGACTGAGCTAGGCTGACACACAGTGACTGAGCCAGGCAGACACACACACACAGTGCCTGAGCCAGGCTGACACACACAGTGACTCAGACAGGCTGACACACACAGTGACTGAGCCAAGCTGACACACAGTGACTGAGCCAGGCAGACACACACACAGTGACTCAGACAGGCTGACACACACAGCGACTGAGCCAGGCAGACATACAGAGTAACTGAGCCAGGCTGACACACAGTGACTGAGCCAGGCTGACAAACACACAGTGACTGAGTCAGGCTTACACACAACTCATGACTGAGCCAGGCTGACACATGGAGACCGAGCCAGGCTGATACACACCCAATGACTGAGCCAGGCTGACAGACACAGTGACTGAACTGAGCCAGGCTCAGTCACATTGTGTGCCAATCTGACTTAGTTATTTTGTGTTAGTCTGGCTTAGTTCAGTCACTGTGTGCAGCCTGGCAGTTACTGTGTGTGTCAGCCAGGATCAGTCACAGTCAGACTGGCTCAGTAACTGTGTGTGCAGCCTGGCGCAGTCACTGAATGTCAGCCTGGCTCAGTCACTCTGTCTCAGACTGGCTCCGTCACTGTGTGTGTCAGACTGGCTCAGTCACTGTGTGTGTCAGCCTGCTTCAGTCATTTTGTGTGCCAGCCTGGCTCAGTCACTGTATGTCAGCCTGGCTCAGTGACTGTGTGTCAGCTTGGCTCAGTCACTACATGTGTCAGCCTGGCTCAGGCACTGCGTGTGTCAGCCTAGTTCAGTCACAGTCAGACTGGCTAGGTCACTATGTGTGTCAGCCTGGCTCAGTCATTGTGTGTGTGTCAGCCTGGCTAAGTCACTATGTGTCAGCCTGCCTCAGTCACTGTCTGTTGTCGCCTGCCTCAGTCACTGCGTGTTTGTCAGCCTAGCTAAACCACTGTGTGTCAGCCTGCCTCAATCACTGTCTGTGTCAGCCTGGTTCAGTCACTGTGTGTTTGTCAGCTTGGCTCAGTCACTGTGTGTCAGCCTGGCTCAGTCATTGTGTGTGTCAGCCTGGCTCAGTCATTGTGTGTGTCAGCCTGGTCCAGTCTCATTGCGTGCCAACCTAGCTCAGTCACTCTGTGTCAGCCTGGCTCAGTTCAGTTACTGTGTGCAGCCTGGCTCAGACACTGTGTGTCAACCAGGCTCAGTTACTATGTGTGTCAGCCTGGCTCAGTCGCCATGTGAGTCAGCCTGGCTCAGTCACTGTGTGTCAGCTTGGCACAGTTACTGTGTGTGTGTCAACCAGGCCCAGTTACTGTGTTTGTCAGCCTGACTCAGTCACTGTGTGTTTGTCAGCCTGACTCAGTCACTATGTGTGTGTGTGTGTGTCAGCCTGGCTCAGTCACTGTGTGTGTGTGTTAGGCTGGCTCAGTCACTGTGTGTTTGTCAGCCTGGCTCAGTCAGTATGTGTGCAGCCTGTCTCAGTCACTGTGTGTGTCAGCCTGGCTCAGTCACTAAGCGTGTGTCAGCCTGGCTCAGTTCAGTCACAGTGTCTGTCAGCCTGGCTCAGTCATTGGGTGTGTATCAGCCTGGCTCGGTCTCCATGTGTAAGCCTGACTCAGTCACTGTGTGTTTGTCAGCCTGGCTCAGTCACTGTGTGTCAACCTGTCTCAGTCACTGTGTGTGTCAGCCTGGCTCAGTTACTCTGTATGTCTGCCTGGCTCAGTCGCTGTGTGTGTCAGCCTGTCTGAGTCACTGTGTGTGTCAGCCTGGCTCAGTCATTGTGTGTGTGTCTGCCTGGCTCAGTCATTGTGTGTGTGTCTGCCTGGCTCAGTCACTGTGTGTCAGCATAGCTCAGTCACCATCTGTGTCCGCCTGGCTAAGTCACTGTGTTTGTCAGCCTGGCTCAGTCATTGTGTGTGTGTGTGTCAGCCTGGTTCAGTCACTTTGTGTGCTAGCCTGGCTCAGTCACTCTGTCTCAGCCTGGCTCAGTCACTGTGTGTGTGTCAGTCTGGTTCAGTCACTGTCTGTGTCAGCCTGGTTCAGTCACTGTCTGTGTTTGTCAGCCTGGCTCAGTCACTGTGTGTCAGCCTGGCTCAGTTACTGTGTGCGTCAGCCTTGCTCAATCACTGTGTGCATCAGCCTGGTTCAGTCACAGTCAGCCTAGGTCAGTAACTGTGTGTGCAGCTTGGTTCAGTCACTTTGTTTTAGCGTGGCTCAGTTCAGTCACGGTGTGTGTCAGCTTGGTTCAGTTACTGTGTGTGCCAGCCTGACTCAGTCTCTGCGTGTGTCAGCCTGGTTCAATAAGTCAGCCTGGCGAGGTCACTATGTGTGGCACCATGGCTCAGTAATTGGGTATGTGTCAGCCTGGCTAAGTCACTGTGTGTCAGCCTGGCTCAATCACTATGTGTGTGTCAGCCTGGCTCAGTCACTGTGGGTATCAGCCTGCCTCGGTCACTAAGTGTGTGTCAGGCTGGCTCAGTCACTAAGTGTGTCAGCCTGGCTCAGTCACTGTATTTGTCAGCCTGGCTCAGTCACTGTGTCAGCCTGTCTCAGTCACTGTGTGTGTCAACCTGGCTCAGTCACTGTGTGTGTCAGCCTGGCTCGGCCTCCGTGTGTCAGCCTGGATCAGTCATGAGCTGTGTGTAAGCCTGACTCAACAACAACAACAACAAGATTCCATTTATAGAGCGCCTTTCACGTCGGGAGGACGTCAGCCTGGCTCAGTCACTGTGTTTTTGTCAGCCTGGCTCAGTA